ATGAGTGAATTTAGAATTGTGAGCACTACTACAATGAAGCATAAAAAACTAATACAGTACAATTTCATATGGTTGCATTAGTAGTGGTAACACATGATTCGCACACAGACCAATCCCCTCATATTATCAGAACTATAAGGATTTGGGTGGAACTGGATTGGTCCATTAGGAATGTGTTTCCACTGACCTTTGGCAGTTTGCAAGACACTTTTGAAGAAGAGAATCATCCTGAATACTGCTAGGATCTGAAGCAGCACTCCACCGTTTTTTGGTGGAATACAGTCATGAACAAATTTTAAATGCTTCATTATATTTTGTACCTCTAGCATTAAAGAGCTTATAGTATCTTCTGTTATTATCATCAGAGAGGCCATCTCTAAACAGGTAATTTATTTACGATTTAAATCGCCAGAGAGAGCTCCTTGATTTTTATCAGTGCCTCAGAGAACTCACTACTTCTCAGCATTAAGAAATAAAGTTTTTGCCTGTAATGTCTTTCCTTTAATAGATATTATCCTAAATTTGTCTCAGGATCAATAAAGTCAGTCAGTACACCCGTCCATGTGTATATACTTTTAACACTGAGACATGAACACATTTCTATATTTCAAATAACATTCTAGTGTATCAGTGTAAAACTCAGTGGTGCACTACTGTACTTTCTAATAAACCACCTGGTTTGTGAATTGTAATTCTTTTATTGATGGTTAATAGACAATTTACTGACTAACAAACACACATTTATTGATGGTTAATAGACAATTTACTGATGAACAAACACACATTTATTGATGGTCTGCCAACATCTGTTAGAACAGGTGGGCTGCAGTCTGATATAAACACTGGGGTCTTGTGAGATGGACAGAGCTGTGTGATTGTGAGGGTCCCCACAGCTCCAGCGGTTCATCACGTGGGGGAAAGCAGGTTTTTTATAAACAGCATTAAAAAGGCAAAGCTTCACCCAAACAACCAGGCAGGTCCACTTTAAGCCCTGTGTGCCATTACGCTCAAAGCGCCACAACCCTTCGCTCCATCCAGTCGCACTGTGCAACATTAATTTATTCAAGCAGCCCTAAAATCTCGCGGTGCTACCATTCAGACATCTTGCATTTTATTAAGTCTGGTCCGTGGAAAAAAATCTCCATAAACATACATTGTTATGCGTGTGTGCATGTGTGTGTCCTCCACACAGAAACGGGGTTTCGCTGTGTTTTTGAATCCTGCTCATTTTCGACAGTGCGTTAGCGGATGTGAGGCGCTAGGACCGAGCCTCGCGTGCCAATCCCGCGGACTTTAGACGCTCTCTCACGGGGGCTCTCCACCAGTATTGTGCGTCATCTCCATCGCTGCCGTTCTGCTTTTTTTTTTTTTTTTCTTCCTCCGGAGAGGCAAACATGGCAACTCCCGCCGCGGTCAACCCGTCCGGTAAGTCGCTGTCCGGTGCAGACGAAGCAGAACATTTGAGTAGGACCGGGGAGGACAGAAGCAGGGTTTTGTTTAGACCCCTGCTGTCGAGGGCTGAAAGCGGCGACAGGCCGCCGGAGCCTGGCTCGAGCATCCATCCCCCTTCCCCCACTGAACCGCTGACAACACGGCTATTCTCCACAACCTATGCGGCCCAGTGTCCAGACGAGCTGCTGGCTGTGTTTCTGCATGCCCTTCATGCTCCTTTGCTGTGGTGTGTGTGTGTGCGCCCCTGTTATTCTGTGCGAAGCTAGGCTAACGCGTCGCTTCCCCCACTCTCCGATACAAAAGGTTATTTAGCATATCGCCGCTCCACCGCATCGCCCTCCGTATGTGACGTGTTTACCCCGGACACGTTTGTTGTCCTGCAGTGAAGAAGACTGTGCGATCATCTTCATCGCCTGTTGATTCCTCATTTCATAGAAACGGCTCGACGCTGGAGGACTTCGCCCTGCGCTGCTCTCAGGGACGGAGCCAAACGCCAAAGTGCATTGAGAAAAATCCACCGCTGTGATTTGTCTCGTTCCACTGGCTTGAGGTGTGGTCTGGATAGAACATAACAAACATGTAACTATTCCCTCTAAGTCATTTTCCAATTCGGCATCCAGCCACTGTCACTCAAGTGGCGAGTGTTTGAATCAACCAAACTTTCCTAATCCATGCTCCTGCTGTAGACCGACTTCTTCACCTCGAGGCAAGCGGTTCAATTGTGTGAAGCAGTTACTCTTAGTTTGGACTGAATTGAAATCGTTCGCCATTGGTGCTTCACAGTTTCTGCTGATTTACTTGAATTGCTATTTATTGTGTTACACATAATAGTTGGAGCTCTGTGTGCTGTGTGGGTTCCCTGGTGAACAAAGAGAGTGTAAATTGGTGAATGTTTGAATAGAGTCTGGCGTGGTGTGGATGCTAGCGGTGATTCTGCTTCATGGTGATGAAACTGATGCTCATTTTAGGTTTCTTGCCTCCAGATTAGACGAAACTGCAGTAAATCATGTCAATCAAATATTCTGTAACCATCTTTCAATCATTGGTTTGATTCTAATGAGCTTAATGATCACCGTGTTAACAAGTTGACCATTTAAATACCAACTGCCAAGGAAATACAATTAACAAATTGCAGTTGAGTAATTTTGTACAATAATTGTACAAAATGTTCCTTGTATGTCACTGTCTGTGAGCAAGCCTTCAACTTATTTTTTAGCTGTATTAGCTGACATTGTCATCTAATATCCATCCTATTAGTCAGTGTTTTTGCTAAAAGAAAATTAGACCAAAAGGATCAGTCCAGTTGGGAAAGAGTGGCAAAGTAATTACTCTGGTGCAGAGGACAGAGTCCCTGAGTTCCTGAGACCTCTGAAAACAGGTCAACCATACTCTACCTCACGCGCTGTGCCACTTCATTGGCAATGTAAATGAAAAGGGAATATAAATAAAGAATTCGCTGGTTATTATCACCTCGGCTGCATACAGAGTGTTGAGATGAGGTGTTGTTTGAATGAACAATGAACAGATGGGAAAATAACCCTGTCAGGCAGCAGAAGGGCTCTCTAAGAAGACAGAACAAAACCCCTTCTCTATCTCTTGTTTAAAGATAAGGGGCTCTGTCAGTCTTTGCAGATGAGAGTCTAATAGCTCTTGGTAGCAGCACCAAACCTTTCTAGGCCAAGGACAAACGTATTGCTATAATTATTATCCTGTGCATGTAATTCTTGTTTTAATGAAATATAACCCACTCAGATCTTTAGTGGAAGCTTGCAGTGAGAGCTACGTGCAACTCCTCTAACTGGTGATGACACCCAGTTGGAATTAAGTCATGCCTAATGCTGCTGCTGTTGCTGCTGTAGCTAGAGGAGGACAAAGTTAGCTCACTGATCTGTGATCAGCCTTAATGTTTCCCCTGGAACAGCCCTATGGTCAGGTGGGTTGACCTCAGACCAGATACCAGTGGGTAGTGGAAACACTGTTGCACTGCAGGATTATCTCCAGCTGGCTGTCACCCAGATCCAATTGGTGTAAGAGCACGTGAAACATGACGAGTGAAATGATCTAATGAGGGTTGCGTGTTTAGAGTGGATAAAGATGATTCAGGTTCATGAACAAACAGAGCAAACTGCAGAACGCAGAGATAACTAAAAGTACTAAAAGCCGATAAAAACAGATACTTCCTAATTTCAATTTTAATGTTTTTTTAAATCTGTTTGTCAGTCAACAGAAAATATTGACTTGAATAATTAATTCCATTCAAAAATACAAAATATTCTCTGATTCTTGCTGTTGTTCTTTTATATCACAGTAAACTGAAAACCTATTAGGCAAAATGTGACATTTAAACATGTCATGGTTTTTCTACTATTTTCTAATGACAAGTACTGTGATGTGCTTTGAGTGGTCATCAAGACTAGAAAAGTGCTATATAAATACAGACCATTAAATTCATCTATTATTTAATAAATAATCAGCAGATTAACAGTACAACTCATCAGTTAATGGTTACTTGCAATGGTCTGATTTGTTTCATATTGTGTTTTATTCAAAACAGTTTTTTTATATTTGAGCATTCTCGATTATTTATTTTAATTCAATGATAAAACATGTTTCTATATTTCTGTACTAAAACGTTTTATTTAATTGACCAACATGCATCAGTACCAATTTATATATTTTAAAAACTAAAATTGACTGCCACTTGTAGTATCTGCAGTAGTTGTAATAGTGTTTTGTTTTTAATGAACATATCACAGTTGGAGAAATGTTTGTTAAAACATTGGAATTATTGGATAGTATTATACCTGGCCTGTGTGGTCAGCAGCAAAAATCACTAATACAATACTATATAGACCACAAAAAAGAAGAAGAGAGGTTTATATCTACAGCTCAGCAATTGTTAAACAGGTCATTACAGAGCTGTGATGTCCTTCTAATTTTGCAGCCAGCTCTGTTAGTTTGGATTTAGTTGGTTAAGTATTTAGGAATCATACGAATCATGAAGAAACCAGTGAGAGAGTGTGTGTTTGTGTGTGTGTATTCCTTTTGGAGTATTAATTATCTGTTTTGAATGATCAATGTCCCGAGGCTGTTTGATAGAGCTGGTGGTTAGGGAACGATTGGAGGGAAGAAAGAAAGAATGAGAGAGAATAACCTTGTTTGAGGGAGAGCGGTGATTGAAAAGGAGAAAGTACGCACCATTCACGTGCTCTGCCAACAGGCTTATTAATGCATTTGACCTCAGGGCTTTTGAGCTCTTGGCTGTTTGAATAATGTATATGTGACAGAGTTAAAACCAGACTTGCAAACGATTTCATGTCACATGAAAGAAAACCTGAAAGCGGTTATAGGCAGCTGGAAGAATGTCGGCTCTGGTGCTCCATGCTACAACTTTAGCATCATCATTAGGGTTGGGTCCTAAATCCCATGCCTAGTAGATTCAGATTTTGATGCCTAAACTATGTAGAGAGGCAAAAATATTACCATACACACCCAGTTGATATAACATTTAACTTAAAATAAAAGGAAGCTATTAGCTACCTCAAACTCAAGTCGACACAACAATAAAATGCCGAAAGCTAAATGATCAAAAGTGTGGCTGTGTGTGTATCATGTGAAAGGATTCTGTCACCAGGACATGCAGCAAATATTTTTAAAAATTGAAGGGAGGAACATGGCAATACTAATGAAGCTCCTGGCAACACACAAGATACATTTGAAAGCAGAGGGATGCCCCATGTTTGACTGTTTGCATCTGTGTGGGCGTCTCTGGTCCCTGCGATGGGGAGACAGTTTATGACAAGTTTGGAGTTTGAGTATTTTGCTCAATTAAGCAGTGAAACATTATTGTGGCTGGGTTAGGTTTTATTCATTATATGATTTTGTTATTTATGTTTCGTGAACTGAAACCGTGAAGGGGTTTGGACCACGTTTTTGGTTCAGTTAGTTACAGCTGCCTGTAGTACCTGTTAACAGGATGTTTTTTGGTAGTTTTTCCTTACTTTTGCTGAGGGTCAAGGGCTGTGATCCTGGATCTTCAAACGATAAAGCACAAGGAGTCAGAGGAAGAAGTCATGTCAGTAAAATGTATGACATTATAGCAGCATAACTAAGAGCTGAAGGATCCTAGGGATGTCGGGATTAACCGGTTTTATGATAACCGCTGTTTGATAATGTCACAATTTCATAACTGTACACCCTCTCTCTCTCTTTTCCTATTAACCATTATAAATGTAGCCGAGAGTTTATTTCTCCTGCACTGAAAGGTAATAGTATAATAAGGACAAGAAGAATGTGGCTTTAGTTTTTCTAAACTAGTCAATATGTTGCACCAAAACAGAACCACTTCCATTGCTGACACTTCAAAATAAAACTCCCACACAGATACACAGCTTATGACAGGAAACCAACCTTCCACAATAAGGCAACTAAATAAAATAGGTTATATAAATTACTTTTAAATAGATAAACGTTACACTATAAAAAAAACTAGCTGGATAAAGTTGATGATAATTATAAATATTTTAGTTCATAAGCTATATTATCTGTTATCTATTAGCTATATATTGCTTGTTGTGAGACTTTTTTTCTATTTTTTTTTTGATAATCGTTAAAAACGTGAAGCCGTGATATTTCCTCGGACAATCGTGGCACCAAAATGTCATACCGTGACAAAGTTGTGTGTCTTTTTCCTTCTATAGTATCAATAATATATCATAGAATATTGTGAAACCGTGATATTTCCTCTGACAATAATCGCGGCGCCAAAATTGAATATCATGACATCCCTGACTGACAACCATGATCAATTTGTTCGCTCTAATCTTGATACAAAATTTCACATCGTGACATCCCTAATGGTTCCCATCAGTCTCGATTATACACAGATGCTCAGCTGAGGGTTTACCTGCAATGCTGTGTTTACAATGATGCACTGCTCCAGCCCAGATGTCTCTTTTGTTTTCTTCCCCCTCTCTCTTCTGGGTTTGATGATATTTATTTTGACTTAAAATCTTGTTTTACCCCAATTGTGCAACTTTCTCTTGATACAGCTTTCACTGAATGTGTAACTGCATTCCATGCATCACTTTTTGGGGTATTTTATGTCCACTGCTGACACTACAAAATATAACAATGGTGAGAGTTCAGTGTGGCGCCTTCTTTAGATTTTCGTTGAATAATTTCTGGCTTCTTAAATGTTATTTACATTTTCTGTGATTTCTGTATTTGCACATGGTACTGCAGTCTCATGCCCTCTTATTATCATTGGCAGGGTCACTGACACATCAATATAAGAACCTGGATGTGAAAAAGTCTGCAGTTAAATGAATCTGCTGTAAAGTTTTCTTAAGAGACTATTGGTCGATGAGGCCCATTGTTCTAGTTTAACTGGGTGTTGTCCGCATAGCAGTGAAAATTGTGTGTCCTGATAATGTTTCCAAATGGAAGCATGTAAGGAACCCTGTGATTAACTTTGGTGCACAAAGATGACTCTTAACTAATTTGCACAAAGTTGAATCGATCAGATAAATAGGATTTAAACCAGCTTAGGGCAGTTCCTGTAATGACAATTAACTGTTCTAGTCTCTGTAGTAAGATGTGATGACTGATAGTGTCCAGAGTGGGTTTTTTGAGAAGGGGGTTTAATTACAGCCAGCTCAGAGCTCTGTGGTACATATTCTGATGATAACAATAGATTGATGTATCCAGTAAAGTAGACCTACTATTTATTCGGGCAGAATTTCTTTAAAGCTGTTATCAGACATACCCTGTAAGTAGGGATGTCACGATATTACATTTTTGTGCCACGATTCTTGTCAGAGGAAATATCACGGTTTCACAATTATTGATACTCTAGAAGGAAAAAAAACAAACAACCAAAAATATAGGGCAAATATATAGCTAATAATATAGCTAATGAACGAAAATATTTATTATTATCATCAACAATATCCAGTTAGTTTTTAAAGTATAACTTTTGGCTATTTAAAAGTATTGTATGTTAGCCATTTTATTTAGTGCCTTATTGTGGAACGTTGATCAGTGAATTTGTGTTTCCTGTCATCATAAGCAGTGTCTCTGTATGGGACTTTTATTGTGAAGGGTCACCAACGAAAGTTTTGTTCTGTTTTGGGAGCGAGGTGTTGACTAGTTGTTTCTTCATGTCCTTATACTATTACTACCTCTAGTATAGGTGAATTAAACTTTCCAATAAATTTAAAATGGTAAATAGGAAGAGAGAGAGAGCGCGACATAAACAAGTTTTTCTCCTCTCGCTGTGAACTCCTCTGATGGAGTTCTTTGTTTGTTGGTGGAAATAAAACCGTTAAGTCAGTTCCCTCTTCTCAACTAACAATTCAGTGGCTTGCCCACACAAAACGTGACTTGCGAGAGATTTCACGGCACGGCGCACACACAAAATACATGACTCACGAGAGGCAGGACACCATAGTTAGATATTGTAGTTTTTACAATTCTTATGGTTATGAAATCGCAACATTTACACTACATTCCGACTCCACAATTTAGTGTTTATTGTTAATTGTTTAATTGATAATTGTTTATTCAATGTTTACACCACTTGCAGAACTGACAATAAAGCAAATTTTGAAAAAAGAAATCGTGGATACCCTAAAATTGTTTAATTGCGACATCCCTACCTGTGAGTTAAGTCTGGAGAATTGGGTCTGGAGTTTACCCAGAGTTTTCATGCACAAGCATGTGTGAAAGGAAAACACACCTGCACAAGCCCAGCAGCTGGGTGCGGCAGACAGAGGCAGGAAGTGACATTTTGTGTCATCTCATCACCACAAACTCCTTTGACATCCTTGTCGGTGTCTTCTTCATATATAACACAGTTTTTCACTGGGAGATATTTGTTCTTTTCATTTTTGCACCTGTGGTGTGTTAGAAGTGTCATCAATGCCCCACACTCATTCACAGTGAATCCAGCAGGTGATCCCCTACTGTCTTCTCATACCTGAATCTCCTAACTTTCTACAGAAGTCATACTAGGCCAGGCGGAGAAAGTCTGCAGATAAACCGGAGCCTCTCACTTCGAAATTTGCATTCACACATGCACCTCCTCTGGAGGAGATACGGAGGATCTGCAGAGTTCAGTGCACTGTTGGGGCCGTTTACTATACAGCTGTGCGATAGAACGTTAAGTGCCTATTATACCTCTCAAGTAAAGTGTACTGGGAGATTGAGTTGTGCTTGGCATGGATGTCTGTAGGAAGAAGTCTATGATGAGCTGACATCCCCAATGTCACAAAAGTCAAAAAAACCCATTGGAAATTCCTGTGTATTTGTGTGCATATGCATGTTTGTGTATATATATATTTAAATAGTTTCTGTGGCCAGTATGTAATTGTCCAGAAAATCTATAATAAACAAAATAATTACAATTCTGATGACAGATACTTAGAGGATACACGACTTTAGCCAAATAATTAACACATGGACTTGTCCGTTTTACGAATGCACCCAAATGCATCCTAGATGTGTCTATAGATCTGATCACTCAGACCACTTTTGGAGTTAGTCAAAGTGGTCACATTCTTTTGTCTTTCTGTGTGAACACCAATAAAGGAATGCCTGGTCAGCTGATGTCCTATGACCTTCTATAGCTTCGTAAAACATATTTTTACTCTTTCGTAAATGTGTTCATTTGTTTATTGCCACCACAACAATATCAAGACTGATCAACACATAATGATTGCTGTCAAATCTTATACCATAGTGGGGCTATGATGTACATGTTTATTTGCATATTGAACAGGAAATTGAGATCTGATAACAATCAAGCGGTCACATGAGACACATTCAGGATATATTCAAATTTAATTGAATCTCCCTACCTTTACTTTTACCTTACTTTTGATTTTTTTATTGATTTGTTTTCATTGCCATTTATTTTGTGAAGCACTTTGTAACCTCATTTAGATAAATGTTATACAAATACAGTTATTAGGTGTGAACAGACAAACTTTGAGCTACCCACTTGTGATCAGATCTGTAGAAGGTCTGAACAGGACCCTTCACCATGTATGTAGAGCAGTGAGACTTTCAAATAAGGTGATGTGTAGTTACAAGTGTAACATTTGGACTGACAAAGTGCTCTGTGTGAACAGTTGTGTATAAGAGTGCATATTTGGTCAGTTCACCCACCAGGCAGAGTGACCACACTTATTGTCAGATGGAGCCGTCTCTTCATCAGATTATGCTAGTTTCCGTGTGTTACTCATACCCACTTCATGAATGAATGATGGAACACTGCTTCTTGGAAGGCCCTGGGCACCAGTGTGTGTGTGTTTGTGTGTGTTGCTCTGGGAGCAAAGACGGAGGGGGAATGCACACTATCAAATATTAACTATGTTACCTGGTGCACTGGGGCATACCAGAGGGTTTGTTTGGCCAATCCATTGCATCTGGTGGAATGAGCGGAGAGATGAAGAGGAAAACAGTAAAGCAAATTTAATGGATTTGAGGATGAACGAGGGGAGAAATAATGCAGTGGCAGTGACAGAGAAAGGGGGAAATATGAGAGGAAGATGGAGGCTGTTCTGGCACGCAGTGCAATTCCTCTCAGCATCAATCACACACAGCACAGGGGCTTTTTATTGAACAGTTGTTTACCTCTGTCATTACTGATTAAAAGTCTCTTAAAGGGCCTGTGCAAGAAAAAGAATGTGTGTGTCCAGAACATTACCAGATAGTTTGGTATCCAGGCAGAGCTGCAGGCCTCACTGTGTACGTCTGAGTAGACAGATTTCTCTACAGTTCTCCACTCTGCTGTGGAAGATAGATCTGGAGACTAAAGTAAGACTTCTTGAACCACAAGGTTATTCCTAATGTTCAAATCTAATCTAATCAAATTGTGTTTGTATAAGCTATATTCAAAAATCACAATTTGTCTCAGGGCTTAGCAAGGTGTGACACCCCTCTTTTTTGTTTGTTTGTTTTTAACCTTTAACATTTAGGGTTATATTTTGATGATGTAAGAGCACCAACTACAGCTCATAGAGCAAGTCATGGAAAAAAGGTTGCTGTGCCAGGCGCATGGTGGGTTGAACTTCATTAATCATGAATGTGTTGTGGCCGCAACATTGATCAGAGTGATATCTGCCATTCCCTTGTAAGGCCAGGTGAGTTTGCACCTTGGTGGACTTGGTGTTGTCACTGTGGTGTGATATTCATTCACTTATTTGAAATACCAGGATAATGTTAAAGGTCCAGTGTGTAAGATTTAGGTGAAAGGGATCTATTGGCAGAAATTGAATGTAGAATAATCCTCATGATGTTTTCACTAGTTCATTTCATCTAAATTGTATGAATTGTAGTTTTCTTTACCCTAGAAAAGGTCCTTAAATACTTTATATTTACATCAAATTACACTAATTTACATTAGTTCAGACTGGATTAACTAAACACCTTTTGAGTTTTTATGACAACTGAAGCTACCACAGGTTCTATTTCATGTGTGGAAGGAGAGGGTGAGGTGAGGGGTGTTCAGCTGCAACATGCAATTTCAGCACTAGATATCACAAAATTCTACACACTGTACCTTTAAGATGTGTGCTTCTTACAAGAGCAAAACTTTACAATTTGGGTTGTTTATCTTTTTTGAGACTTTTTGATAAGTGGATACAGGTACAGTAATGAGTTTTAATAATGACAGATGCTTTTCTATTCTGTTTGTTCTTGTGCTAACCCTCTGCCGGTTTCTTTCTTTCTTTGTTTCTGCAGAGATGGGCAGTGAGTTGCCAGGGACAGTAGGGATGCCCGGAGCAGTTGGTGCTGGCCAGGTCAGGATGGGAGGTGCCGTGCCAGGTCGGGGGGGCAAGAGGAGATCAGGAGGGTGAGTATTTTAACTGCTGACCTGTTGTTGAACTACCCACTACAAATGTATTTACTACAGCAAAGGTTCAAAACATGAAAACAACACTAAAAGTCTCCAGTGGCTAGAGAAGAGTTGTGTCTTGCTTTTTGTCACATTCGCTAGTGACATTTTAAACTGTTGAAGTTATATACAGGTATTCATACAACCCTATTAAGGTGGTGGAGGGGACTTAATACCATGTATGTCATGCATAGATATTGAGTTTGAGAGAAAACAAACAGTTTTCAGTTCATTATACATCATGTACTGTAGAAAAGTATTTGTTTCATCCTGTTGTGACTAAGACATCCCTCTGTTGTGTTTGATATAACAGCAAACCTGCTTGTTGAGGGTAATCCAAAATCACCAGCTCCCAACTTCTAACTCTTGCTTCTGGGAGCTTTGGTAGACACAACTTTGGTAATGTTAGAAAACAGGTCCAGGTTAATAATTAACAACCCGGTGTTCTTTTATTCAGTAATCTCCCACTGTTTAATGGGGTAACAGTGTTTGTGTCAGATTCGTGTCCTCAGACCTGCTACCATGAGACACAATAGTTGTAAATATGTGAGTTTTCTTGATTCAAGTTAAGTTAATATAGAATGTCTTGTTTTTGTTTAACATAAGAACTTATGAACATGAGTGGTTCCTGTGGTCTTTTAAATTAAAACAATGAGTTGAATGAATGAATAGCTGCAGATTAATTTTTCTGAAAAATGTGCTGGATTGTAGATAAATGAAACCTCACCCTCACAGTGTCCCCACTTATTTCTCTGACTGTTGCACAGACTGTAAACTTAACACATGGACTTGTAATATAATCCTTATCTTTTTCTCCATATCTTTTCTTTTGCACTCTTCCTTCAACTATCTAGTATATGTACACAAGTATTACAAATAACTGGGAGTGCTGCTGCAAGCCACCAGTGACTGCTGTTGTTATTTTCCCTGTCTCCATGTATATTCTGTACGTGAGTTCAGTACCTTGTACATATAATCCTCAGGGGCCCAAGCAATGCATTTAACCCATGCACAGGCATTAGGCCTACACAAACATGAATAAATAATACAGACCTAGATGTAGGCAACATAGAAAATAAACATGGCACAGGGAGCCTGCAGGGACTGCTCATGTCTGCCATTGTTGCTTTATTTATTTAGCTGAGTGTGTTTGTGTGTCTCTGTATGTCTTTCCATGGTTGTGTGGTCAAAGCGTAGTTCTGGCTTTGTGAGGACATGGTAGTCAGTCTTCACATGCTCAAAAAGCAGTTTTAAAGGTACAGTGTGTCGAATTTAGTCATATCTAGTGTTGAAATTGCATGTTGCAGCTGAACACCCCTCACCTCCCCCTCCCCATCCAAAAGTGAAAAAGAACCTGTGGTAGCCTTTAATTGTCATAAAAAGGTGTTTAGTTTGTCCAGACTGGACTAATGTAAAAAAACATGGCGGCCTCAGAGAGAGGGTCCCCTCAATGTAAATATAAAGTGTTTATATATAAAAGGCCTTTTCTAGGGTAAAGAAAACTATAATTTAGATGAAATGAACTAGTGAAAACATCATGAGGATTATTCTACATTAAATATCTGCCAATAGATCCCTTTCACCTAAATCTTACACACTGGACCTTTAAGGGTAAGACTGAGGTTTAATGATTAAGGAAGGAATCGGATTTCGGTTAGGGTAGGTGTTAGGTGGAGGTATTCATATTGAAGTTGTGATGGTTGTGTGTAGTGTATAGAGTGTCCTCACAATTAATGAGATCAATGTGCGTGTGTGTATGTGTAAAGGTGGATAATACATACATGGTGTTCGGCTTGAGCTCCCTGAACAAGATTTTGTCAAGTTCGCTTGGTGTCTGGTTTCACAGTTAATTCTGTGAAATCCGACAATGTCTGTCTCTCTCTGTCTCACTAATGTAACCAGGTTCATTCTGTTTTCTCCAGTAAGCTGATTTCTTAATTGTCATTTAAAAGACTAAGCTTGTTTCTGTCATCACACTAGTGGAGAGAGGATTACTGATTTCCTCAGGCAGATCTCTGCCATTTACACAGTGTGTGTTAACTGTGTTTCTCTAATCAGCTTTTCACTTGACAAAACAAACAGCGTTCAAAGTAGCAGCTAGCTAAGATGCAATCCACATTACACAGAGCAGTCCATCCTTGTTTATAAAATAACGCCACCTAATGCCAAACTGAAAGTGAAACTAACAGAAAGTAGCCAATACAAGTCTGATAGAGTTTGTATCTACTGCTGCTCATTCCATTTCAGACACATCCCTGATGTGAGAGAGAAGCTCTGACTCTTTCTGTCCTTTCTGAGCTGCTGTGTCCATGCGGTTGAGTCACTCACTTCCCTTCTTTTAGCTGGAACAGTGGTGACATCACTGCTGCAAAATGTCGCACTACTGTTAAAACATCTTTCATTGTGCAACTCTTAGTATGTTGCAAAGCCAAATAATGCTCTTAATTAGATTCTTGTGCACTGTACTGTAGAACTGTCTTCTGACTTGTGTTTCTAACATGAACTGATTTTGGCTTTTATAACCAGAATGACTGATCTCAAACCTGGAGTCACAGTCCTGTGACACCCTCAGTGTAATAGAAGTAGTAACTGTCTCCTTGTTTCTCAGAATGGACTTTGATGATGAAGATGGAGAGGGACCTAGCAAATTTTCAAGGTGAGAACAAAGAAAGCAGATAACACTGACCTGGACTGAGATCATTTGGGTATCTGTCGGTACAATGCAATTTACTGCACTCTGATCCGAAATGGCTTACAATATACATGGATTTGTTTAAAAGAAATATTAACAAATCCCAAAGTTGTGTTTAAGAACCCAGCAGATACCCTCTGTTTGTAGCATTGACACCTCATAACTTTTTCTTTCACTCCATCACAAACACAGTGCATTGTAATGTATTCGTTTTTTAAGGAGAGACTCTTTCACTGCATCTCAACTGTCCCCCACATTTAATTTGTCTCAACTTGTTTGTCCATTTGTTTATCCTCGTGTTGTCATATTGTTTAAGAATGCAGGGTGCAAAGTAAGGGCTTTAGTTGTGAGCTGAGGACACAGCAGTGGATTTGTTTGTCGAGTGGTGACAGTGCGGAGGAGGAGCTGCTCTCTGCTGGACACTTGAGGAACTGCACTCATAATATGCTAATGCCTATTATGCTAAATGTCCATTTTTAGTGTGAAAAAGGGTGAAAACTGAGTGTCTCTTTAAAACCTGAGTTTGCTCAGGTGACCCCCCCCTGCGTTGCTGCTTTACTCACTTGACTGTTGTTAAGTTGAGTTTTCTGAAGTCGCCTTGTCCTCTGAGACAAGTTTGCGAGTTAATATAACTGAGATGAAAAAAGTCCACAAACCCAGAATGTGAGAAAAGCATTGTTTTGTATTCGGACCTCCCTCAGAGTAGAACAGAACAGTTGTATTACTGCATGTGTCACACATGTCATTGACAGTTTGTTTTTTTCTTTAGTTTTGCTCTTGTTTTTATCATCAAACATTGAACCATCAACTGTCATGTATTAATGTGTGACAAGCTTGCATGTGAAGATACGGATTCTGAAGCCGTTATATGATGCTTTTCCTCTGTGTGTATTCACAGAGTGTTACATTTTGTGTGCTCTCTCTCTTCTGCAGGTATGATGATGATCAGATTCCTGGTGGGGATAAGGAGAGATACGCCAGGTAGGCCGAACCAACTGGGGCCCCAGAGGATTTTCCTTTGAGTCAGGGATCAACAGGCTGTACCCCAAACTTCAAACGTCACATCACTGCTGTGAACCCAACAAAGTGACTTACTGACAAGTCATTGAAAAAAAAAAATCAAAATGAAAGTTCTTAACAGACCACAAAAAGATCTCACTGTAGTTAATTCAACAGGTTTGCAAACATCAGTTGTAAACTTTGATTCAAAGTGAACAGAAAATGAATGACATCACAGATATATAATAATCTCTAACCAATCACATGGTAGTCTATTATGATGAGGCCACTTTTCACGCGAGGCACAGCACGGTTGTTTGCGTCAGCTAAAGTCACCAGTTGATGCTGTTTTGGTCTCGCGTGTCGAGAATTGAGCACAACATAAGAATTGCTGTGAAACCTGCAGCTAAACCTGCGGTAACTTGCCTGATGGAGCTGCTAACAAAGAAAAGTGTGACGGGACCTCTCCCTCTGCCTTCATAATATTAATATTCAACCAGAAAAATATTTTGTGGGCTTTTCATTTATTTATTTTTGGCAAGAAAATTAGACATCAATAAAAGTAGGAAGGTCGGTTTGTAAATTATCAGTGGTTTTTGTTTCAGTATGTGGTAACTACGGAGTGTCTTCAGAAATCCAGAGTACAATGTGTCCAAGAGTCTCTGTTTTGGCATCATTGTGTATCACTCCTGAAAAGTCCCCTCAGTCAGAGAGAAACTTTACTGCTGGCTGACGCATGCAATCTTCCCTGAGAGGAAAACTCAAATCCAGAAATGCAGTGAAATCAAAGATAAACAAAAAATGTCGACAAGCAATTTTATTCAGTAATATATCATCACTTGTTTTTCGATAACATTGATCCCGATTCCAAACAGTGTGCTTTCACTTGTAAAGAACGAGATAAAATGTTAAATCATTCATTTCATGTCAGTTCAGACTCAGACAGATCACAGGTTGCAGTTTAGGGACTTTAACAAAACCTGAATCATGGTCAAATTACTGGAGAGGTGCCATACAGAAATAATGATAAGTTACATCATAGTTCATTTGTTAAAACAAGGTGGGCTGCTTGTTACCTGTCTGAACCCTCTACAAGTGTATAACTACTCCTCTCTGTTTCAGAGAGAACCACAGTGAGATTGAGCGACGCAGACGCAACAAAATGACTCAGTACATCACAGAGTTGTCGGACATGGTCCCCACCTGCAGCGCCTTAGCCCGGAAACCTGACAAGCTTACCATCCTGCGTATGGCTGTCTCTCACATGAAATCCATGAGGGGCACTGGCAACACATCCACTGATGGGGCCTATAAGCCCTCCTTTCTCACTGAACAGGTACTGTACTCACAGAAACACAGAGCTTTATCTGCCTAAAACTTAAATATCATATTCATTGGCTCTGTTTTTTTGGCACTACACAGAAAAAACAGTTGTATACCCAATCGAACATGTAACAATTAACATATTTCTTTAAATTGATCTACACAAATTAACTGTGGAAGGGCTCAGGTTGGAGGGCCACATTAACACGCTCCTTCAATCCCCTCATAAAGCTGACTATTAATATGGATAAATGCTCATCTAGGTTTGTGAAACCAAGATATGCTAATTTGCACAACTGATAACCAGGGTACTCCATTAACAACCTTATCCATACTAGGGCTGCACGATATATGGAAAACATGCTATATGCGATGTTTAATATCGCGATGACGATATGACTTGCGGTAAATAAACATAAACAGTCCCTGGCTAAGGAAGCAGAGACCACAGACAGCTCCACAGCCGGGAGAGGGTTTATAGCCCGGCCGCAGCGCCACCAAGTCAGATGCAGACACCCAGGGAGCCATGCACAGCTCCACTATGTCCTCTCACAGTGCTAATTTGGGGTCTGTAATTTACTGTCCTCTGTGTCGCTGTCATTCACACTTTGCAATTTACTAAGTTTGCAAAGTCGGTTGTTTTTACCCAGACTGAGTTTACACGTGCCCGGTCACACAGTGCCGTGCGGCCAAATATATTGACAGTTTAGGTTATTGCACCTCTTAACCCCAATCCTCTCACCCTTCCAATGGATTTTGATGCATTTGGCTGAAGTACACAGAATGTTCCTCTTTACATCTGCACTCACCCTGCTGATTTCTTGAGCAATTCCATCAGCTATAGATTCCAGTGGGTGCCAGTTTCATTGATAGCCACCTACGTATGTCCGAGCCAGAACACAAGCAGCACCATGCTTGACTGATTACATGGTGGCTTTGGGTCCAAGATGTTTTATTTTATTTTTTTTCACAATTTCCTCTTGCTATCATTTTGATTGAGATAGATTTTTGTTTCATCTGTCAGATGAATTTACTTCAAGGTCCATGGTTATGGCTTTTTGTGCACAAAAGGAAAGAGTTAAAAATAAAGTTGAGGGCGGAGGTGTTCCTAAGTTTGTGGAGGACTTATGTTGGAATAATGTTATATTTATCTTTTCTTATCAACACAGTACACCTTATCTCTTTCTTTATTTGTACTCATGTTGTTTCCTATTATGGATGAAATTTTAAATTGGATTAGAATAATTGAAAAGTTGTGTCTTGTCACAGCAGTATATTTAACTCACTATTATCTCTGTGGATCAAATGCAAAATGATAAGAAAACATGAAGTGAAGTTGAATAAAAGATTCACAATCAGTCAGGTCCTCATCCTCCTCCCTCTGCTGCTGATGCCAAGCTGCTAGAGAGGAGGGTTACCACAGCCTCAGCCCGGAGCAAAAATCAGACAATTGTGAAGATATATGACATATTAGACATAACTGTGTTTTTGCCATAAAGAAAGCTTTTGCTTTGGCCTTTTCTTCTTTGTTGGTCCAACAAGTGAGGCTGCAGCCTGGAAGACAATAGAGAACACTCTACACATGTTCTCAGGTTTATTCAGTAGTGAAAACAAAGTGTAGGCATAACACATGTAAATCAAGACCTCTCTTTTGCGATGTGTTTACTGCACATCATGATGATGAGGAAATTCTGTTAATCTGCCACCTCTACATCCCACTCAAATTCCAGCTGAGCTTCTGTAATTTTAAGACTGGAGAGAGAAAAAAAGTGTTACTGTCTAAATGCTTATAGCCTGGACTGTTCCCCTGGAAAGATGCAAGATGTTAGTAAATTATGAGACTAAATAGCACCATGTGGTGCATCTCTCCCAGGAGAACCATCTGTGAATGGGTGACGTCCTCTACTTTGAGGGAGATTGCACTTGTGTTGTATTAAGTTACTGTACAACAAAAGCACAACAGTAAGAGGGGCACACGCTTAATGTAGATCCATATTAATTACAAAGGCTTGGGTTCAGTAGTGAACATTTTAAAACTGGAATTTACTTACTGGTAAGCAGTCAGGTGACTATTTCCCCTCACGGATATTTACTGTTGCATCCTTGGGATTTTCCAAAAAACTGTAACAATGTCGACATTGGGGATGACTCCCTCTTGATCACTACCTTCTAATATACAGTCCATAATCAGTGGACTTGGACAACGGAAGGACATAGTCATGGTCATGTGTAATTGTGAAATTACTCAAGGGCTGTTGTGTCAGTTAACAAGCTCAGTATCTTTCTTTTTTTTAGATATATTAATTGTGAGGTGAAGATAAAAAGGAACGGATGTAGAGCATCATCCCAGACTTTGTAATTAAGGCTCATTGATGAATGTTAGACAATGTACAGTTGATTAGAAATAGGCTTTCCCCTACTTTTTAAGTCTGCTTAATTCCAGTTGATTCCTTTCCTCCTATAGTACAGCATCAGTCAACATATCTCTGATGTAATTTGCATGTGTGTGTGTGCGTGCGTGTGTGCGTGCGGGGGGGGGGGTGAAGACTTTGTGCTGATGAAACTCTCCGCTGCCCGTAGGAACTGAAACATCTTATCCTGGAGGCAGCAGACGGATTCCTGTTTGTCGTCGCCGCAGAGACGGGCCGGGTCATCTATGTGTCGGACTCAGTGACGCCGGTGCTGAACCACCCCCAGTCCGAGTGGTTTGGCAGCACTCTGTATGAGCAGGTCCACCCCGATGATGTGGACAAGCTGAGGGAACAGCTGAGCACCTCGGAGAACTCCATGACAGGTAGAGGAAGTCCTTCCACTTCACAGACAGTCAGCTAGAGGTTTACAAAAGGTCTCATGTCAGTGTGAAGTGCTCACTTCTTCAAACAAAAAAAAAACCAAAGCCTGTACTTGAAATTTGACTTTTTTCATACTGTCTTTTGTCAATTGCAGTATTAAATCACTTTATTTCTAATCCAGCGACATGAAAGCTTTACCAGGTTTAGGCAGAGATTATAATCTCCCTCTTTTTATCTGATTTCTTCAATGTTTAATCTCCATATCTTCTATCGTCACAGTAATTATAGATGCATACAGGTACTGTGTTATAAGGCATTGACATTTAAAATGGAAAAATGTCTTTTTAAAATGCTCACTAGAGGGCAACAGTGTCTCGTTAATCCTCAGTGTTCCATGGCACAGTGGAGGCTGCACAGTTTCTCAGTTGAGCCGCTGAGTTTGTATTTGCTTGTGTTTGTTAGAGTTGGCTGAGAGTCATCACATGGCTTTGTGACCCTCCCCCACTGCATATGCACAAACTAACACAACACATGCTATAATTCCAGTGTCCAAATTCTAAAATAGCAAATAAATAAATTACACAACGTTTTACTAGATGTGTCCTGATGAGGTTTATTTGGCCCTAATGCTGATCCAAGGCTTTTAAAATTAGGAATCTGCCAATACTGAGTCCATCCTAAATTCATGGCCATTAAATGTTGATGAAAAAAGTGTTTGTGTGTGATACACTGACACAACAGATGTAGACTTGTTAGTGTCACACGCCTTGTTTTTATCAGCTTCTGCACCCATAAACTCAATTTAGTCTCATGACATGAAACACTTAGCGATATCTCACTCCTATGCCAATTGTCAAGACATTTCCCATCCCAAATGTCAGTCAGTTTGTCCATCTGACCCCAGAGGCCCTGCGCACCTCACTGAACACCCACCATGGCCATATAAACAGCAAAACACAGTCAGTTGAAGATACACATGTGAGCAGGCACCCATACACAAGCACTTTGAAGTGCCAGCAGTTCTCAGGGTCAAGTTTCATTCACTTGAACCAAAGCAACTTGTTTTGGAGGCTCTTTTAGTCTTTTTCTGCTCTTCACTGTTTGAACCGTTGAACCATGTTTTTCCAGCCTGCAGATGTGGCGGGCCTGAAAAACATTCATCAAGTGGAACAAGTGATTGTTTCCCCACATACCAGTTGTTGCTGTCTGTAATTCACTGAAGGAATAACAAGTGATTTACTGTTTTGGAATCTTCTTGAGCTCATTAATATTGCGGAGCTTGTGTTCTTGTGCTTATTTGTCTGTCTGACCAGTACAGTTAGGGAAATAGGTGCTTACTCAAGATTCAAACAAAGACATGAAAATGCTGTCAGACAATATTATACGAGTCAGGTCCATGTTTTTGCTAATATAATGTTCTACCTTCTCCCAAATTCATTTAACTCTATGAATAATTAACCTAGGAAATGGCACTTATTACAAATTCAATTATATATTTATTCAGTCATTAATTCAGTCTGTCCTGACTCTGCTTGCTAACGTTTTCTCTTTCTAGTCTCTCTTGCTCGCCCTGACATGCTGATACACCAACACGACTCAGCTGACGTCTTTTGACGCGCTCCAGTTGAAATGTATTTTTACACTTCTCAGTGTCCATATGATGATGAGTTTGTAACCACCGCCACAACATCAACACTGTTCAACATGTAATGACTTTTGTTATATTGGTAAACTCTCTTTTCATGGCTGTGCACATTCATTCAGCCCCTTCTGACTCCACTCACTGTCTTTTCTCTGCCTCTCTCCTGCTGCCCCTACACACACACACACACAAACACACACAAACACAAACACCTACAAACACCTGCACCAATATATCCTCAGTAGATGGTTTTTGGGCTGGCAGTGGCTGAATGGAAAATTTTAGCAAAACGCCCCTAGTGCTCAATGCATCAGTGAGTATGGTAACGTCACTGTCGGTCTTGCCCTCTCAGCACCTATCTGGTGTATTTCCCCTGCTGAAGCTCACTTTCTATGAATCCATCAAATCTCACAATTATTTATTATGCTGTTGATCACATACACTGTCCAAACAGATTGTGCTCTTTGTGCATGTGCCTTAGTCTGTGGAGCTGTTTGTAAATAATAATTGATGTTATCCTGTGCAACAGTTAAATCTGCAGTAAATATGTAAATATCACCCCTTATGGTAACAGTGATGCACGTATTGCTCTCAGGTGAGGTTTAAATTTCATATTTTTCAATTTCAACACAGAGAAGGCTATCACTTATGATGGATCTCAGTCTGCTCTTGTTCTGTGTCATAAGAGAAAATCACACGTTGATTGGTGTTTGCTGGGCCAAATAAATTATAGAAACTGGAGGTAATTTCCTGCAGAGTTGGGAAATGAGCAGCACTGATTTGACTCTCAAAAAAAATCCCAAGTTTCACAACCGGTGATTTCATCAGTGTACTACTTCAGCCCACCTTTTTCTTGCAAGATTTCAATCTGTTCAGATTGCCAACTAAAAGCATGATGTCTGCCAGCCACTTGCAGTTGCACTGTTTGACAAGGCTGTGACCTTTTTCCCCCTCACAAAACAGTCTATTTCATATCTCGGCAAATAAAACCGCCCGAGGTCTGTCCCACAGCACACATCTGAGTGGTAGATTACATCCACTTGTTGTGCATCAGCTTCCAACAGGAGCAGCTGAAACACTCAGTGAAACTCTTGATTGACTGAGATTAATAGTTTTCCCCGTGACACATCACCTCTCCCAGCTGGGCGTCTGTAGCACTTAGAGCTTCCTGACATGTAGCACAATTCATTTTCACCTCTTCTATAGATTTCTTTACTTTACCGCACATCAGGGAAGCCATTCCACTCTTCTCACCTGTCACGGCTGGAGCAACATCGCACAGTTTCTTCTGTAGGTGACCGATGCCATTGATGGCATCTGAGCAGCTCCTTAAACGATATTCGGTTGTTTTGTCAGTGAGGGTTTTTGGAGCAAGGAGCTCTTCTGACATGGAATAACTGTCAACCAAAAAAAACATTGTTATTGTCTTTGTTCAACATCCTTTTCACAATAAACCAAAAGCACATGCTTTCCCCTAACTTGATCCTTCATGTTTCTTGTTGAATCTTAAAGCCATCCAACAGCCATGGTCCTTCGTATGAAAACCATTAAAAAAGACCTTGAAATGTAAATGCAATTGCAACATCGTTCAGAGAAGTTGAGGTTAGTCGTTTTCCTAAAATTGTTTGGTCGTTGGAGACATCATAAACAATTGTGATGTATATTGTAGATGCTGAATAGTTCAAACCGTGACTGTTAAATTGATCAAATATAAAGTGGGTTTGCTTGTTGTGTTTGTTTCCTGTGTTGATGAGGTAATCTGGTCTGTTTTGTGTTTTCTGTGGTCGTCAGCCTTTCTCTTTCTCCTATCTGCGTCCTCTTCACTGTTGTGTTTGAGTGGGAAGTTGCAGTCCACTTCATGTTTGCGAGATACTCAGAATTCCTTCTCCATCTGGAAAGGATCAGTCCTGTTCTAATGATGATGGATACTGATTGCGCAGGTTATAGCAACAGAACCAAGCTGTAGGGTCTACAGAGTCCTACACGGAACCCCTTTTTCCATGTGATCGAGGAACACAAGTGCCTCAGGGGTCTTCTGTTCCCTTGGGTAATAAGGAAGATTTTGACTGTGACAGATTTCCCAAGAAATCCTGGTTAGGAAATGATGAAGAATTGTTTTTATTAATCATTAGGCTTCACTTCACCTCTATTCTAAAGTACTGATGGTTTCTAAAATGTGACCTATATTATATCAAGACATTGAGACGTCTGAACTGTGTTGTTGAGACCTCAGGCTTCTACTCTCTCCTCTGGAAGCTCTAGAGATCAGCTGTCAGTTTGGACCTTCACCAGAAATTCTCTTTTCATCTCTGCGTCAATGCCAGGAAATAGAATTGGTAGAGAAAATGACTGTGCACTTAGATCACACAAATGGCAGTTTGGGGTTGATGTCTAATAAATGGTGCCCATTAGGGCCTTGTCGAATAATACTGATGGAGCACTTCACCCTGAATTTGTGCTCCCTGGATATTTTAATTACGTCTAAATATGTGTGGGTACAGTGAACAGTGGCTCTGCTGCACAAGTAAACTGAACAAATTAATTAGGATTTTAGGAATGAGGGTCTCCATGTGTGACTGTTTGAATTTGGCTGTGCTCTGCAGTGACAAGAACCTGCTGTTGTCCACAGCAAGTTCACAAATGCTGGTCAGTTAAATAACTGTGATATCCACTATGGATATAGTCCAAGACTATATCCATGTAACTCTGTGAGCTCTTTTCTGATAAAAAATATTGAAGAGGTGGTGACCTTGGTCACCAGCACATGTAGTGTATATGCTCATGCTGTTAAGTGATTCTAGATTCTATTTCCAGTGTTTTTTTATACTTTTTTATTGATGTTTTGAACAATAGTTGACAATGCACTGAATTATTTAGACCAGTGGTTCCCAAACAAAGAGTCAGGAAGCCTGGGTGGGTTGCAAGATAAGTGGGTGTCACAGGTTGGATTTTTAAAAACAATAGAAAGGCATATTTTAGCCATAACAAAAATAAAATATAGCCTTTATCCTTTGTCCTCACATGAACCCTGAGGGAATTTTGACAGTTTAGCGACAGTATCACTTGCAGCACGTCAATTTACAGCACCACAGGAAACGTTGTACTTAGGTGATTTTATGCGAACTAGTCCAAATCAATATCCTGTGTATGCTTCAACCAATCCTGGGGATAATGGAGGTCAGACATCTCTGGCTCCTTTATTTTGGGAGCTGGAAAACAATTTGACTTTATTCTTCCTGCTGAGTCCGAGGAGATCCAGAGCTCCAAGTTCACCCATACACCATATTTTTTCTTCAAGTAAAATTTTTCCCTCATCATGTCATGTCATTGACAGTCTCAGACAGTGACAATCAGACAACCTGCCCTGCTCTGAACAAAAGAAATGCTCCACTTGTGATGGACAAGGTTGTAAAACTTCATCCATTATCTGTTATCAGCGGTCAATTTGATTTTTATATTTATTGAGGCACTTTGTATACCTTAAAAAATGATAAAAGCATGGAGATAAACAATGAAAAGAGACACTGACAGTGCGGTCACAATTCATGTCAACACCATACAAACCAATTTTTCTCCTTGCCCCTTCTCCTCGTCGGTGTGACCCACAGCGGTCACATGTATTGCAGCTGTTGTCCTCACTGTTCTAATCTGTCAAAATGATGGATGGCCTTCCCACTTTTCTGTCATTTAAAAAAAAAAAATCTGTCACTGACGGAAAATATTTAGTAAACTTGACCCCTGGTTACACTGCACAGCTTCAGTTTTATCTCTCACCAGATAGTACTTCCTCATTCTTTTGGACCTGATTACAGGTGAAAAACACCAACAGCAGAGCACCTAAAGCACAACTTTGTCCACCCTCAATGTAAGAAAGTGTCTAGGTTAGAAGAAGTAAGAGACTATTATTACTAGCCTTTACTGCTTTACATGGTGATGTTAGCTGTGTACTTGCAAAGCAACTATTCTCATTTGAGCTGCTGCTTGTGTGTTAACAGGACGGATTCTGGACCTGAAGACAGGAACAGTGAAGAAGGAGGGACAGCAGTCCTCCATGAGGATGTGCATGGGATCCCGACGCTCCTTCATCTGCCGCATGAGGTGCGTGTGTGAGAGTATGACTATGATTACGTGTGTTTTCACATCTGCAAGTTGACCTGCTCTCTTCAAGATGTCGCCGTGATGTATTTAAAAATGTGCCTTTTCCACAAGACATACTGAGATTTTCAGGTCTGCAATTATTGTTAAACATTTAATTGTAACTGTGTTAAACTAGTTTTAATTTCAGTAGGACTCTTTATTTAACTGATCTAATTTCTGTTTGCAAGTATTACAATCCATTGAAATCTTTGCAAAGCTTACAGAAATAATGAGTATGCTCTAGAGATGTCATTTTTCAGCAGTGTTAATTACGAGTCATTATGATCATAATAGATAACGATCATAATAACTCCGTAAAATGAATTAGACCGGGATAAAATGAAGCTTGTTGAGAATGAATGGAGCCTCTCGTAAAAGGTCACCTCTGCTTTTTAACGCTACATGGGAATCAATTGAGATGCGAGCGAGCAGAAATGGTACAAAGTGTCAAACAGCAGGGGTTCATGTTATCTGACAGGCAATCAGGAATACGTTACATGCAAAGTGACAGCCATTAGACACTCACAAAGACAGCAATGGCAGGTTTCTTTCTCTCAGCTACTGCCTACACGGAACAGTGAGTAGTCCTGCTGAGCCGTTTCTAATTAGCCCCGCAGATGCTCTTACAACACTGATTCATATGTGATTGATTGGGCGGCTCAGGCTATTAATCATAGTAGGCAGACTTATGTGCGGTGAGTCTGAGGCAGAGGAGGAAACTAGATGGGAGATATTCAAACAGGTGAAAAGCAGGGTTGAGCAGAGGGATCAAAATCAATATTACAATATTAACAGGAATATTTTGTGATAGGAAGATATTATCCAATAATTCTATGAATTTAAATGTTGATTAAATATATATCTGAAACACTGAAATACCAGATGTAGATACTAAATCAGACATATCGTATTGTTCATTAGACACATGAATATTACAGGTCCTAAATATATTAAAGGACTGGCTTTACATTTTACACTGTAGATTCCCCTACAAGCTTGTAAAAGGAGAGGTTAGGTGTGTTTAGATTATTGCAATTTGCAACCTCACCATTGGATGGCACTACATGCTACACACTCATCCTTTAAAGGGATAGTTCACTGAAAAATGAATATTCACTTATTTACTCACCATTATGCCGATGGAAGGTTGAGTGAAGTGTTTTGAGTCCACAAAACACTTCTGGAGTTTTCAGCTTTGCAGCCAAATACAATTGAAGTAAATGGAACCCCTTCTTCAGACAAAAAAGACATTTGCCTAAATGTCCTGTGATATTGTCCTCTGAGGCACATTCACGTGCACACAGACACACCGGACACCAAACCCACTCTCGCCCAAGGGCACGTGCGGGGTGCGCGTTCTCATCACCATGTCCACTAGCATAGCCACTTCCATTAGTGGACTTTTGGCTTAAAACACGGTGTAAATGACCTTGTCTCGAGTCAGCTGCAACACAACTGTGTCAGGCCCATTCGTGAGCTGTTGGTCAGCTGGGTTTCTGCAGCACTGCACACAGCTAGAGTGTATATTCACCTTCACCCTTTGTCTCTTTGTGCTCTTGCTGCTGCTCATACAAGAGCCACAACAGCAGGTGCATCTAGAGAGCAGAGACATAAATGGTGCATGTGCCCAAGACATAGCTCTTTGCACTTGAAATAGGTCCTATCATCCACTCCCTGTGGCTTCTAGCTAAGCACAGAGTAGTAGCTTGCTGAGAGCCCTTCAACTAGGCAACAGGCATATTTTTCTTTTGGCCTGTCATCATCTTATTCAGTGAATTAAGGTTGTTATAATTGTTGAATTGAGAAATTAATCGAAATTATGGTTAGTGACTGAATGATATTTCAAACTTTCAGATATTAGACTAAAATATTCTAAACATCCCAACAAAGCCCTTTTCTTTTTTAGCAGATATAGTGAATAACATCAACTGAAAAAGCAACAGTACATTTCATATGTCTCCGAATACAAGTGCCATCCTTTGACTCAGCCAGCAGCAACATACTGTATGTGGGTAAATTTCCCGCTGGAAAGTCAAAGGGAAGACCTGTTGAGATTAATAGATGTCACTATGGCAATCATCAAATTACTAAACTGGGCAGCCCAAGAGCTTCCTGATGCATAATAGAGAACAATATCATGACCTTTGCTCCAGCCTCTCTGATGAACTGCACCCCAGGGATGCCTGTCACCTGCCACCACAGCTGGAATGCCATCACTTTCTCCCATGAGAGTTTAACTCCATTCCTGCCATCTGACTGTTTTTAAAGTGGCATTATCTTGAATAGAAAAAGTATCACCAAGTCCTCACAAAGAAATGAGCGCTTTCCGTAGAACAGTATTTCCCACAGAATGAGATTTTGTTGTGTTGGTAGCAGATGGGGGAAGGAAGGAGCAAGAGGTGGTTTCTGAACGTTTTCATTGAAAGCATTGATGACAAGTACTGAAATTGATAGATTTCAGATGTGGGTGATGACAAGATTGTTGTTTTGCAGCTTGAACCTGGACAGCTGTACAGTCACTATGCACCTAACGTGTGATATATGATTCATACCTGCTGTTTAAATTTAGACGCTCATGGAGCCATAACCCATTTCACACCACATAAACCTCAGGCCATATGACTTTCTGCACATCAACATATTTCTGCTCCTCAGAGGTTTTGGGTTAGATGACCAATGTCTCCATACACTCATTAATTAGACTAAATAGGCTTGCCATTAATATTCTTATTATCATTACCATCTGTTGGACCAAAGTGTCTGATCCTTTACAAAACCAGTTTCTTAAATGTCGTTGCTTGTGATCTATGACACAGTTTGCCCCACAGCCCTTGTTTCTCATTGGTTGCAAACTACATCAAAGCAGCCTTGACTATTTCACGGGCTTGCACGATCTCGTGTTTAGTTTAACAAAACAACGTACCTTTTCCAATTTCTTTCTGACACGCTGTGGTTGTGTTGGTGCCAGAGAGTGTAGAGTCATCAGGGGCTGCTGCAGCCTTGCTTTGTCTGGATCAGTAACAAAGGCCTGGTACTCGCATGAAAAGCCACACGATGCTGTGTTGTTAAGATTTTGTTGGACTGGCATGCTCCTCTGTTCTGTTGCTATTCCAAGCCCTGCATAATTCAAACAACATGCTGCTGGGACAGTCTGAAAGAGACGTCAAGCAAGAAGTGAAACGTACCCACTTCTGTGACACATACATAAACATTGTCTGAGAGAAACACAGCAGGATCAGCAGGCTAATGTTTCAGGGAAGCCATGATTAGATCCAGGCAGGCTTATGCAATGCGTAGCCACAAGACAGGTCTTTTCCACAGAAAAACACCCGCTGACTGTACCACCAGCCTTAAAGGAAACTCAACTGGAGGGAAAAACTGCCTCTAGTCTGTAACCTGTTTGATTTGGGGTTCATTCCATTAATTCTTTACACTTACAACATGGAGTCAGGCGTCTGTTCTCATGGTACAAAAAACCCCTTCTGCTTTAGCAAGACATTTGTAAAGTGTTCTCACTCACTCATGCATCAGGCACGCTGTCAGTAAAACCCTAATTATAAAATAATGACACAGCAAGTTCATTAGTTCATTGGTTGCTGTGGTCAGATTTATACTCATCTGTGTGACAGCTGGTGAGTTTTCTGGATGTGTATTAAGGAGCAGACAAAGAGGCAGAAGTGTGTCTCTGTGCTCTTCTTTAAATAACCTCTTTCATCCTTGAAATGTATTCAGACCACATTGTGTTAAACTAATCCTGCTAATGATTATCAAACTCTCTAAGTTGCCAACCTTTTTCTGACATTTTGGGAAAGCAGCCTTGCTCAGAGACATCATAAAGTTGAGATCATGACAGTGTTGCCAAAAATAAATAAAGTATACAATATATTATATATATATATATTCTAATCAGCTGTTTTCAAAAATACAAATCTCATTCATAATTTTGCCAATTTAACTGATACAAGTACTAATCACTTATCATTGGGATTATTTTTGAAAATGTCACTGTTTTGGGGATGAAATGATTTTAGGACTACAGTTGCTAATGAGCTTGTAACTATAATCTGACATGGTGTGACATTTATGTTTGAGCTGCACCATGCCCCTTTAAAATAAGAAAATAAAATGAAAACGTCCCATTTTTTTGTCCAATGTATCTATGGTGTATTTAAATGAACCTCCCCACAACGAAACATTTGATTATTAGGGTTTTGTTTTACATTGACAACACAATATAACACCAGTTTTGAGAATTTTTTGTAAACAGCAACAGCACCACGACAGAACACGGGCAGCTGTAACTGTCACTGTGTGTGTGACATGTTTTGTAAGAACTGTGGTCAGGTTAGAACATTTCGAAAACATTTAATAAAGAGTTGTTACTGTGACATAAGTTGTATCAGTACATGTTGTATGCTGTTTGACAAGCAGTTGTACAGTATTTGTTCTGCCTCCTGCTGTGATGAGTATCATGTATCTCTGGAGTGTAACGTAATGTTTGTTTGTGTTTGTGTGCAGGTGCGGCAGCGCTCCTCTGGATCACATCTCCCTAAACCGTCTGTCCAACATGAGGAAGAGATACAGGTACAGGAAGTGCTTCTCTAACCATGGTTGTGATCCACTAGAAAGTCTTTCTGCCTGATCCTGTTTGCCCTTAGACTTAAGCCCCCTGCTATTTCTTCTCTAATATCGCTTAACGTACAACTGGTGATGGGAATGATTTATATCTAAAGAGGAATAACCATTTATATCATAATATTGCATTTTGCTATTTGCTAGATTCATATTTGTGCATATAAATGCAGCACTATACATATTATATAAGTGCATAAATAGAACGTTTTGAAAATGAACAGAGCTCAAGTTGAGACTGCTGTGACATTAATGTAAAGGTTTCAGCAGCGAAAGGTTAAATCCACTGTGGGGGATTTAATTATAGCACTGGTATGTGCCAAGACAAATACATCAATGTAATAAACCACAAAAGTCCGTGAGCCACTTTGGATTTGTGAAGATGATTCTTCTCATGGCAGATCAGCTTATAAAGAGGAAAAAGGAGAAAAGAAACCAACTTTGCTAAACCACAATAATCATCAGACCATCAGGCTTTCAAATTTTTAAACTTTCATGCAGGCCAACTGCTTTCATTACCCAATGTTTTTCATCCAGCATGTGAGAGGAATTATGAATTAAATAAGAGTCACAACTTAACATGCTCTGCTGCTGCTTTTTTGACTGTATAAAATAGCCAAAAGAAATTCATCAGTCGATATTGTTATTTAGTGGCAAAGCTCCCTCTCAAATACCAGATGTCAAATATAATGCATGCGTTACAGCTCTTTCTTTATAGTCCTGTCATATTTAAATGGAGCTGTTATGGGAGATACACAGTGTGGGTGTAAACAAACAAATATAATAAGGTTATTTTAATATGCAGAGAAAATACAAAGTAAAGTAACGAGATTGAACATTTTTTTTCTACTCAACACCACCATCCTCTACTGTAGCTCCCTGATCTGTCACATTTACCACAAACTTCTGTCAAAGTCATGACACGATGGAAAATCAGACATGCACTTTCTCAGCGATCTCCGATGTCCATCAGCACATCGGTTTAGAATTGTAACTGAAGGTGCTCCCTCTGCGAATCTTTTCTAATAACCATCAGATTCAGACGTTTTCTCTGTATCAAAGTCATTCAGTCTTAATGCAGGTCTTGAACACCGTGAACAGATGCTACTAGGAGCCAAAGCCCATTGACTATTCATGATAAAGATTTGACAAACTTTTGACAAATGAGCTGGAGGCTGAAAACAAAGAGGTCATCATCACCCTGTCATTAGACATTACAGCCTGTTAACTGGAGCTGGAAGCTGGAGAGTCCAAGTTAGAGACTGTGTCAATGGTGCATGTTAATAAGCCAAGACAAACTTGGGATTTCTGCTTTCTAATTTTTTTTTCACAGAAGCTTCGAAAGGACCACCTCCTACTACTTACAAATACATTTCTCATTTTTTTTATCAGAGACACTTACTTTCCATTCATCTCTTCATTTTTACCATCATTTACAAGCCTCTGATACAAGCCATGTTCACTTCCAATGCAGTCTAAATACAGATATAAATATGTACAAATGAAGTGATTAGCTATTTGTTACAAAACTAATATACAGTCCATAAAAGTGAGCCTTAAAGCCATTACTTGAGCAAGGAGATGAAACCAACTATAATAAAGGAATTGTTGAAAAAACAATAGTGCCTAGTGTCTTATGTTCCTGCAGTGGGGGCGTGATTTGCATTTAATGTTAAAGGCTACTTATAGGCGACTGTAAACACCAATCAATTTCTGCAGTTCCCGCCACTGCTTTTTGTTTGTACCTAACATGTAATTATACTCAAATCAAATAACTGGTACCTCAGGATAAAATGATGTGAGGTGTAGTCCAGTTTCTACACTGAGGCATACAACAATGTGGAGTATGTGTTGTTTCACTGCCATGTCTCTACAGTAGCCCCGAATCGGCAAATCAAAGCACTTACTCTAGAGAGTAACATTTTTATTTTAGGGCCATCAAAGGTTTTCCAACATGCCTAGAACAGGAGGGGTGAGGCGAGCGGTATATTCAGTTGGTTGCAGTATGAAACTTCACCAATAGATATCACTTAATCCGAGACTGGTCCTTAAACTAGCAGGTGTTCTGAAGCTGCTTTGGTGATGAAAACATAATGTTATAATGTCATTTGAACACAATTCCAGGATTATTAACAACAGCTCTGTTGTGTATTTGACATTTAAAATGAACTTTCACAGTGATCGTTAGAGGGGAAAAAGCCCTAAACGTCTTCTTGCCTGGCTTGGGTCATTGTTTTAGAAAACCTCTGGTCACACTCTGTACACATCAAAACAACATTGTCAGAGTTTGTTTTGGAAATGTTCCACTTTAAGGGGAGAAGTACACTCCTTTAGTCAGGACAAAGAAAAAGATGTGTTTACAAAGTGAATCAGAGAGTGCTGTTGTTTCTTAAGGTCTTTCACAGCTGTGTCTGAATATGTAACATGCTCCTTTGTCTATTTGTGATGGACAGGAATGGCCTTGGACCGTCAAAAGAAGGAGAAGCTCAGTACTCTGTGGTGCATTGCACTGGCTACATCAAAGCCTGGCCCCCTGCAGGTTTGTACACATCCACAGCTCCATGCTCTTGTCTCTATCCTTGCTTAACCCGAACTTCACTTTGGAGTGAGCGTGGCCTGGTCTCACCTAAAGCAGATCTGGGCTCTGGATCACGACAACGGTCAACCACAAATCTTCAACAGCTTGTGTGGCTCTGGTATCCCATCCAGTGGGTGTGAGTGGGTTTGGAAGTGGCTGTAAAAAGCATGTATTGGACAGCTGCTGTGGTCAGCCAAAATACACATTTGTTACTTTGCACTAAAATATTCATTTAAGGTCACCTGCACCCAGTCCAACTGTTTTACTGACCTGCAGACAAACACATACAGTAGATGCTGGGCCCTCGGCCAACTAAAGCCTTGGACCAATGTGTCATTTCTCTACTGCTTCACCACCTAATTACTTTCCTTGCAGACCCTGAACTAACTTCACCACTCAACTAATTAAATTAATAAATTCAAGACTCACATTTAAAGTGTTGGTTGGGTGATATTATAAATTTTTTGCTGTTTGTCAACGAGTCGCATCAAAAGGTCAGAACTAAATGTGAACCGATTCCACTACAAACTATTATGTGTATCTTATTCGTCTTTGCCACAGACCTGCACAACTTTGAAAAAAAGGACTCAGTTCCTTCATTACCATGAACTCCCACACACACTGAAGTTTATTTTCACTCAGTTCCACATCACCCCCAGAAATAAATGTGTATTATCCGTGGCTGAAAATAGTCTCTACCAAATGCTTGTGTTTTTTCTCCTCTAAAAGCTAGAGTTGAAATGATTCAATGTGTCTTTGAACTGCTTTCAAATATTTATAGAAATGTATACCCATGTTTCTGCCGCACCTTTCCGATGTGACGCGACGTATGGTGATCGTATGGTATGGCATCACTCCAGTGTGGGACTTCTCATTGGTCTTTATTGGGATTTATTGTCCAGAATAAATTCATCTAAAATTAGAATTTAAGGAGAGTTGGTTTTTAGAAGAATGGAAGTATTTCTGAAGGTGTTTCAGTCTTATTAGTAGCTGTTACAGTATCAGCATACGGCCTCAGATGAACTCTCAGACTTCAGTATACACAAACACAGAGAGTGCAGCGTTTGCAGACATTGGAATGTGCTTTCTCAGAACCAGGTGTGTAGTTGGGTGGTGAAGCTGAACAACATCAAGTAAAACACATCGAAATCACCTCTCAAAACTTTTAAGGTCATGCCGGAACATTGTAAGCGAGAACACAAACACAACACACTCACCATATGTGTTTTGAAATCACTGACACGTGTTTGGCTTCCTTGCACTAAAAATACTCCTCTGGAATATTTTGGACAAAATGCTGCTGGCGGAGACTCATCGGGAGAGACACACGCATGTAACACTTATAAGTCACAGATGGACAACAGAGACGTGGTGCAGACACAGATGTGTTGCACATTGAGCAGCAGTAAGATGCCTGCAGACTGAAAACTGTTAGAGGAGAGGAATGTGTGCACAAGTGAGGACAGGGCCACGTTGTCTGACGAAGGCTCATCTCTTTCAGCTGTCTGGTAAACTGCCATAGATGACTGGTCAGGAATTTCAGCAAAATAAAATAAATATTACAGACATTTTATAACTATTAATAGACTCCTCCCTGTGGCCTTTGGATGGACTGGGGATTTTTTTTTTCTTGATATCTTTGAGATCCAGACAAGGTGTAGAATATGGGGTTTCCAAAGGTCAATGTAGGACTCTGAGAAGGCTAAAAAAGTTTGGCAGAATATTTAGTTAATCGCAAGAAAGGAAGATGCCAAAGTGAAACTCAGGAAATAAAGCTTCTCCTTAGGGGTTCCGTGGAACCACATGTACCTTTGAGGCGGTGGGTGGTGTTAATGGGGTGATATGGTGGTGTAATAAAAACACTCCTTTCTGGTTCTTCTCAGACGTCCTATATGAATGTGTTTATGTTCTTGGGCCTGAAGAGAAAGCACACACCTGTAACTATGTGAATCCACGACTAAGGTAATAGTAAAGTAAAAGCAGTTCTCTGCATAATGAGGTAGAAAAGAGACACAAGATTGTGAGGTGGAATTTTCTAAAACATGTTGCAGAGTCTGGTCTTTTGGCAGAAAACATTTTTACCTGTTGGAGGCTTGATGCTGAAGACATGATTTATAAATCATTATAAGGGAGCAGTGGCTGTGTCAGCCACTAGATTACCTCTCACTGCTGAAAAGTTCAAGTAGCAAATGGAAAAATAAGTGTCCACGCTTTGTGAGGAATGTTTGTTAAATGGCCTCGCTTTGTTTCACATTTCTCTCTTTCTCTGCCTATCCCTCTGTCTCAGGTATGACTATACCAGAAGAAGACACAGAGGCAGGTCAGACTGGGAAGTACTGCCTAGTGGCCATCGGAAGACTGCAGGTGTGTGTCTATGTGTACTTGTTTTTGTTACCTTTAGGACCTGTTCCAGCATAAAACTTTCCGTTGTGTGTGTGTCTGTGTGAGTGTGTCTGCGCGTGCTCAGAGGAGCAGATGGATTTAACATATTTTCTCTTATTTCCTTCTTTTTCTTGTTACCATCATAAACAAACATCCGCTGTCTGACTCTGGTGCCTTTGTTGCGTGTCACTTCCCACCCCCTCCTCTCCTCATCCCCCATCATGTCTTTATTGTCAACTGTATAAAAAAAAGACATAAATTAATGAAAAAATCAGAGGGAAACAGGGAATAAAATGAGTTCAAAAGTTCCTTGGTGGAGTTTAGCAGGTCTCATCGTCATAAACACAGACCTGAACCTGGTGAACTTGTGTACAGCTCCGTTTACAAAAACAAGGAAACACAATGTGTCATTGATATCGGTGTTAGGATAAGTTTTGGACATGTTTAGTCATGTTAAAAGACTACTTTGAAAAAGGGAGACTGTGCATGAAGGAGCTGTGAGTATAAGTGAAAGAGAAAGAGAGGGAGAAGTGGTGAGGGAGCTGGCGGGAGAATGAGCTGCAATGACAAAACAAGTCTAGAGAAATTAAACTTCATTTGCAGATTGTTTCACTTTGGTTCTATTCTAAAGCAGAAATAAATTACCATCTAACCCTCAACAGATTCTTGACTGTAGAACAGACGATCTGGAGTTTTCAGCCTCTGCTTAACCCACGTGTCTCCAGTGAATTCCCTGGATATCAAACCTTTCTATTTGAGTAGATGTATTTCATTGCCGTCATTGTGTTTCTAATCTTTCATTGGTCTAATTTGTCTAATCTTCATGGTTCGTCATCGATGTGATGGAACGTGCAAAAACAAAGGTTCAGTTCCATGTTTACGTTCTGAGTTAATTTCTCTGGTTCCAGGAAATGTTTGGTCAGAAAAAAACAAAGAGGTTTTATTGTGTAAAGAGACAGAGTCAGAGAAGCTTGGTCACCTCTCTTAGTCACTTGACCCTTTTTTCAAGTTGTAGCATTCCCTCGAGAGGGTTTGAAGTGATGCTGCTGTGCGGCCTCTACTCACTTTCCTTTCACTGATAAAGAGCTCGCCTGTGCCTTGCTGACAGTCAGGTTGCGGGAGCAGGAAGCAGCAGAGTTATGGGACCTTCCTACATGGGTGGACTTTGTTCTTTAGAATGTGTCCAGACTGTTCATGTCATTCACACCTTGCTAAGATCTTATCAGAACAGGAGCCAGACCGCCATCACATATGATCTGAAGGATCCAATCGTGTTCAGGTTGTAGACAAGTTTTTTTTTATCTTGACATAAAGAGGCAGTGCTCTTAGGAACAGTCTTTACACAGTATTTACTGTGAGAGATGATCAAACGGAAATGTAATTTTGGGATAAATTAGGTCATCAACAACATGCTCAGCCAACAAGCAGCCTTTAAACAATCACTCATGACAATTCAGCAGCGTATGGTAACTATTAGTGTACAAGTAAAGACACAAAATAAAGTCTACATTGTTATTATTAGGTTTCTCATTATACACAATATGCAGTATACTACAATCTTATCTACCAAGCAAAACAAAAGGACAAAATAAAATACACACACACAAAGGTGTCTTATTATAGTCTTACCATTCAATAGTTTTGTCTTATGATGCTATGGAGTTATTATTTTCCAACTAAGAAGACATTGTCCAACTTCTTGTCACGAAAATCACAGAACGTTAAAAACCTTTTCCCACTTTTTCAATTTCAAATTGAGTTGATTTGCTGTTTTTGATGGCTGTTGCTTTTCCCTGATCAAAAGTTTCTTTCTTCTGGTGTGGTAATGAATGGATCACCAATGCTTAACTATCAGTTCCATGCCCAGCATCTCTGATAACAGCAGAATTTTACTATAGTCCCAAAGTGGATGGATCAATGTATCTGTAATTCCACATTTGATACATTTACTTGGTGTATTTCAATACACAATACAATTGTGTTACCTTTGTTTCTTGAACAGTTACTGCTATACATTATTTTTTACATTGATTAAATGCACATTTTCATTCACAGCTGTGTCTTGTTGAATTACGGAAATGCATTTTCGAAAACTCCCTGTCAGATTGAGTAGAATAGCTTGTGGAGCCCCGTCAGCCACTTGATCCTTGTTTTGTGAGCATTCACACAGACACAAGAGCGTCTGAAGTGATGCTGCTATTATGACTCTACTCACTTTCCCTTCACTGATGAAGAGCTCATGTGTAGCTTGTTGACAGACGTCTCAGAATTCAAAGTCAAACTCATTCAGTTCAAAAGCAAAGTTGGAGGCTCTGTTGTGACCTGGAGATGAACCATGCTCATGTTCCCTGCAGTCATTTCTTGTGGGTTGTGTTACGCTCACATGCTGCTGGTTTAAGATGTGAAAAACACAGTACGTTATTTAGAGGTTTTGGACAGGTACACATGGTATTTCGGGGAAGGAACCATGGACATTTGGTAAACAGCTCCTCCAGCATCAGACACTTCTTATCTGGCTGCTCCCATCAGAGCCACAGAGCTTCAGGAGGGAGATAGCTGGGTTCACTGGTGGATGTAGCCACAGTTTGACAAAACTGAGCATCTGAACACAAGTTCTATATGAATATATATACAGTTTTATATATATATATATATATATATATACACTGTATATTTGCCATTAAAACATGTTACTTTTGTTCTCAGTAGTCACTGACATGAATTCGAGCCCACCAGTGTTTGTGACTCTAAACATTTCAGCCAGACTATTGTTTTTAACGTACTTTTATGCGCTATAACGTACTCACTCTGTGAATTCATGATGCATTGATTTCCTAATTTAGCCTTTTTGTTTTCAAATGTACAATTAAGGGGATGTGTTTTCCACTATTAATATACACACATATTTTGTTCAGAAGGCCACAGTAAGTTTCATTGAGTAGTTAGTGTGCCACTGTTACACACAAACACAGGGAACAGTTTTGTCATAGAGTCATGGACTGAGTGTGGTTAGTAGTGAGGTACAGTATTCCATTTTCTCTATGATAGAATGATGCATCTTAAATATGTGTGTGCCTCCCTCAGGTGACCAGCTCTCCGGTCTCCATGGATATGAACGGCCTGTCGGTGCCCACAGAGTTCCTGTCCCGTCACAACTCAGATGGCGTCATCACTTTCGTTGACCCGCGCTGTATCAACGTCATTGGTTATCAGCCTCAGGTGAATGAAGAAGAAATTCTTAATGGAGATGGAAGGGTTTCCTTCCCTTCTTAAGTTTCATGCAAGGAAAATTCACTTTGTCCTTGAAGCACATTAAAATGCAAAGCGAGTTACCAGCATTAATCTTTAAGAGGTATTCTTTAAATTTTTACTTCAGCTGCAGCGCGAACCAGGTTCTCATTTTAAACAGGCTTATATTAGTGAATGTTACATGTTATATACAGGATATTTGATAGTAATTGTTAAGAAGCTCCTATGATTTCTGATTTGCTCCCAGTTGTATTTGCTGTTGATGCAAACCCAACGCATCATCCATGTTTGTTGTCTTGATCATTTCAACCATACGCTGCGGCTCACTCTTCATCTTAGGGCTGGGCGATATGGCTAAAAGTTATATCAAGATAAAGAAATTCAAATCAGTGGATAGTGATAATTATTATAATAAATGTCACTTTGTTGCTCTTGAGTTTAAAAACTGATATTTGCCCCTGAGTCGACATTGTGGTTTTAAATTTGTCTTTACAAACAATTGAAAACACAGAAATATATTTGTGCTATCAGTAAATATTACTGTGTGGACAGTGGGAAGAAGGTGACAGCCTACACTGGTCCTTTATGTTAAACACAGCCCTGTAGCTGCTCACAATGACTCAACAAGAAAGAAGAAGTCACTGCATCAAAATCTGTCCCATTTTCATTTACATTATCATTCACCGAAAGTTTGGAGGAGATGCTTCAACTGTACTTGCATCCATTTATCATTGTATCTTATTAAATTTAACTTCATAACATCTGCAATTTGCTCTCACCTTTAGAAATAAAGTTTTGCAGTCAGCGCTTAATCACTTTCTCACCTCCTTTAACTTGCATTTAATAGCTTGATGAATGACTCATTTTATTTCAGAAACGGACACAAAAAAAGTAAGAGCTGAGAGTCAGTATTTTGTGTTTAATTTATCACAAAGTGACATTCAGATCGAAACGTTGCAGCTTCCTCTTTCAGCAACATTAGTTTGTGTCTCCATTTGTGTCTTGATTCAAAAGTTATTTTTTTCTAAATGTACCAAATGTAACAAACCCATTTATCTGCTGTATTAAAGAAAACATCAGCATGGGACACATGTAGGGACACATGCACTGTACATAGGATACAATGTGTATTTTTGTTTGAGTATTAATTTGATTATTCCATGGACATCCCATTAACTGAATGTTATCTTGTTCTGTAGGATCTGTTAGGAAAAGATATTCTGGAGTTCTGTCATCCTGAGGATCAGAGTCACCTGAGAGAAAGTTTCCAACAGGTAAGACAGAAAATAAGAAAGTTGACAAAGCCAATGCTCATTTATTTGCTGTAAAATTACCTGGGAAAGTTTAAAACCAAGTTACAGAAAGACTAAAGAAAGGTAGGCTTTAGACGAGTAGAGTGTTAGATCCCTTTTAACAACAAAGTTTAAAGCTTGTTCTAGTTCTACGATGTGAGTAGACACTGGATAGAGATGGATCCAGTCACTCTCAGGAGCTTGATCGAGGAAATGTCAACACCACCTGGAATGTTTTCCTGCATGCACAGTGGAAACCTCTGCCTTTCATCCAGCTCACTCACACACTCACATGCAGAAACCCACACTCAGTAAGAGTTCACTGAGTCTCTACAGTCATATAGGGCGGACGTAAACAACTTGTCCTCTTTCCTTTCTTTGTCATCATGTTGCTGGGTGCTCCTGATTTAGAGCCATAAACAATCAGATCTTAAACCTATACTCTTCAGATGGCCCACTAATTCACTGCAGGATTTCCACTGCCGCTGCAAAATAATCACCACTGCTACTTCAGAATAAGGATAGATGCACAGGTTGCCTTGTCCTCCCTCCGCACTCCTGCTGACCTGTGCTCACTTTGCACTTTAGCAATAAACACCAACACTAATCAGAAGTTATTCAGGACCTGTCTCAACTCACAGAGATAACTGTATGTTTATTTCATTCACGCACAGTACTTGAAGCAGCTCTGCTCGGAGAAGGAATGTGGATACTGTGACCGATACAGAGAAAATGTATAACATGTACACATACAACAGTTTTAATTATGCAGTCATCCCTAACCTCGTGGTGTGGGGTGGGAGATATCGAAGTTTCTGGCTGATTAGATCTGGATAGCTGCTTTGTTTGATATGGGTAGTTCGATTATTTCATCAGGTTCAGTTCGCTGGTTTTCTTTTCATCTGGTCATCTGGTGTGTTTCTCGCTGGTTTTCTGTTCTGCAGTCAAAGAGACGCCAGTATCTGAGTCGGTCTCTACTGAATTTTCCTTTCGTCCCTTCCCCCCTCATGGGTGGAAAAGTTGTCCATATCTGTGATCAGCTGCTCTGGCCTTCCTCAGCAGCTCATTTCAAAGTCGTTTAAGTTCAATTTCACATGGGGATGATGTGCAGTGCTGTCATTTCTTGGACTGACAGTCAGTAGAGTGATTGGCTGAGAGGGGGAAGATCGCAGTATTTACTACCAGCAGCCTGTCACGCAGTAAATAACACAGCACAAACCATGACTATGTAACTGCACAGTTCAAAACTTAGAAGCAGTTTTATTAATACGGGCCTTCACACAGCTGCTCTGTACACTCTTAAAGTGTCAAATGAAATAAATGTGTCCCCATCTGCTCTTTTTCCAAATTTATTTAGATGAAAAATAAACAAAACTGTATGTTGTGACAGTAGTTTCAGTCTCTGCTTCTGTTTTCACATCTGGACCCAGCTGGAGAATTAAGACACGACAGATACAGTGATGACCGGTGATTTCCTTCCTCTGCAGGTGGTGAAGTTGAAGGGACAAGTTCTGTCAGTGATGTATCGTTTCCGAATGAAGAACAGAGAGTGGATGTTGATCCGAACAAGCAGTTTCACCTTCCAGAACCCATACTCTGACGAGATAGAGTACATCATCTGCACCAACACCAACGTCAAGTAGGTTTCTTGCACGCATGCACACACACACACACACACAATTGTAAAATTGACCTTGTGGCAGCCAAAGGAACAGAGCGTTCTAGCTTTTGTCTTAAGTAGCAACATATGCTACCACATCAAGGTCTCCCTTCACTGAACCGAAGAACAAACCAGGAAAAACAGACCTGGAATAGTTTTCACCAACATATGTCTGTTCAGAAATGAAGACATGTATTCAGTGACTTGTTGAAATATTTTTAACCACTGTCCAGATTAAAGAGAATAAAAGTTAACAGAAATGCCACGTTTTTTTTATCTGTATTTCTAATGAGAGCATGACAGAAAAGCACAGAGGCTCCTGTTTAATAACCAAATGTAACCATGTAAACGGCTGAAACTGAATTCGACTATCTCCTTGAAGACCGATAAACTAAAGAGCAACCAGCTGCCCTCTGAGGACAGTGATCACTGTGCCTAGATTGTTTAATGGCACAAAGGAAAAAAATCAAATATCACTACACCACACACACACTGTGTAGAAAACTGCACAGATAGAAGATAAAACCCAGAGCTACATTTTATCATATCATTTTCAATAAACATCACTGAGATGAATTGATAAAACCAAATGAAGGGGCAGCAGTGGCTGAGATAAGGAAACATTACTCTTAAGAAGGTAACATCAGTTTGTTTTGATTGAACTTTTAAAAGACTTTGCTCAGATGATTTAATGAGTTTATTGCTTTTCTTGGGTCATTAATATGAACTCAAGACTTTTCTTTGAGAAACAGTATTTTGATTTTGTAAAAACCATGCAGTACAATAAGTTGAAAAACGTCATACCTCCTCAAGTTATGAAATGAACTAAATGGAAGGAATTAACTTGGTCAGCATTCCTTGCTGTAACCATGTGTTGTCATGAGGCCTGCAGTTGCATTTGTTAAAAGACAAAGGGATGGCATGAAGTGAACAGCACCAGTTGTCATGAGTAGTAGCATTTGTTCATAACATCCTGCGTAATTCTACACACATGTTGTTTTAAGATGTCACTCAGAACAGATATATCTTGAGTTAACCTGATATCCTTGGGTAGGAAATATGGCTGCTGTGATTCTACCTGACATGTCACTTTTCTCACCTCGCTCTGTTCTCTGTATGAACTCTGCTGCCTGAGCCAGCAGGAATAATGCTGTATCTTTCAAGATCTTTGAAAAGAAACATGGGATGATATAAGGATGATATCCAAAAAAGTCTTTGTTGATGATGAAGTGAAAGATGCAGAGACTCAGTCTCAGTAAACTCACCTGCCTCTTGTACCTTGTTGGATGTTGGTGCTGAGGCTCAACAGCTCAGCTCTGAAATACACATATAACACAAGGCAGCAGTTAGGCTGCATCAACAACACAAGATAAATCCCTGAATATTACAGGGAAGTTAGCTAGAGGTTAGTAATATTGACAAAATATAATATTTACTTTCAGAGAAGATGTAGAAAGTAGTGGTAAGATTATAAGATAGTTGATTTATTATTAGTCGTGTATGGTTTCAGAGAATCAGTTGTCATTAGTCAAGCAAAAATACCAAACATCCATAAAACATGTTTGTACATTGTAAAACTGAACCTGATGGCTCAAAAAAAGAAACTAATTGAATACATCATCTTGGGATAAAAAAATCTTGTCTTGGCATTTTCCACTGTATACATGCCTCACTCTGCCTGCTCTGCACATGCTCTGAACCACTGCAACACACACATACACACACGTGTGTCCACACTGCCACTGTGTCTGGTGTCCACCCACTGCGATTGGTCATCAATGACAATAGTGATCATCCAAGAGTTGTATCAAGAGACAGAGAGAGAGAGCACTGAAGAAATTCTGCCTCACCTTTTAAATTATAGACATAATGTTAATGTGAATTATCAAAAATATCATGAATGGGCTTTCTGTTATCACTTTATACTGCACACGGCCTCCACTTTGTGCTGTAATAATATACAGTTTTTTAATTGTTAAAACGTTTGTTAAAACATTCTGATATGGACCAAACATTGATACAACAGTGGAATATGTCCGTTTTTAATGTTGTTTATATGATCACAATATAACTTATGTAAATATAAATCAACAGATGTAGACGCTAAAACTGTAGACGAGGCACTGTTGCAGCGGTTCTAGTCAGACAAAATAAAAGAATTAGATTTACCTGTTTTCCATTTAGGGTGTTGCATATTGATTTGTAGTAGAAACTGTGAAACAATTTATCAAAGCAGGTTTCTTTGGACGCACTTGTAGGGGTTGTATGTCTCTTTTGCAGAAATCTGGTTGCTGGTTGCATAAAATGTAACCAGCAGATGTGCTGTATGTCGTGTTGGTCCTACAGAGACAACATTACTCCTGTGAGAGACAGATGGAACAGATACCTTCTGCCTTCAGGCGGCTGTAAAGACACTCACTGACAGGGTGAAGGAAAGGCCATCAGTATAGACTACCTACTAACTGTTGTAGATTACGAAACTGATAAGAATCATTCATTTGTCCTGTCTAGCTGTCATTATTGCCAGTCAAGATGAAAAATGTGTCCGCATGATCATATGTCAACTGGTTGTGGGGAGGTTTCTATGTGCGTATATGCGATTTCACTTCATAGAATAACTGAAATATGGTGGAACCAAAGAGCACTGAGCATCCGACCTGCGGGCAGCAGACCACATAGAATTTGCCTCTCCTTCCACCAGGGTGCATGACCAGTCTCTAAGATCTGATACTGGTACAGTGCAGCAAATAACCTTTGTGCTTCACAGAAAATAGCCCACTGTGTTTGGCACCATGTGCAGCTATTTGTGTCCTGTTCCTCCTGTATGCGCTCTCTGCTGTCATCGTCGGGGAAGGACTGCCGTGAGCTCAACCAATTACCAGTGTAAACATACAGCTAATAGCTTTCAGTCGTGTGTGTGCGTGTGTGTGTGTGCGTGTGTGTGTTATCACTGCCATGAATCTCTGCCAACAGATCCCTGAGGCTGCGATGGCAGACACACTTTTAACGGTATATGTGTTAGATTTATGAGATTGCTGTAAAAAAAAAAAAAAAAAAGAATCTCATTTATTGGAAAACTACGGAGTTGAGAAGCAGATGGCTTTCTCCAGGTCCGCACGGCATGATTAATACTTGTGCGTCTCCTCTTTGCATGTGTGTGCATGTGTGTGCATGTGTGTGCATGTGTGTGCATGTGTGTGCACGTTATGCGATGTATGTTGTGTGTTAGTGGTAGCCGAGTAGGTCATTTCCTTACACTGTTGAACATGCACATTGATGAGCCATCTTTTGAGTAGCTCAGTGTGCACAGTGAACATCTGTGTGTGCTCAGGTGGTGCATGTTTGCGCTCATATCAGTGGCATGGGCGTCCTCTGGTTCTATGCAGTCTGCTTCGCTGTGGGACAGCAGCTAGATGGGACACAATTGCTGAGAAAGTGTTCACAAACAATGTCCATGCCACTGATGAACTTTTTGCTGCTCAGAGTTGTATTTCAGTTTGATACTGGCCAGGGAGACGATGACGTGAAAGAGAAGGGCTAATTTAATTCCATGAGCTCAGTGGATACAGCACTCAATGAATAGTGAAATGCAATAAATAGTGAAAGGTTTTTGCCAAGGATGTAATGATATTAGTGATGGGGTATGAATTTGTTCGAGGAATCATTTAATTATTGCCAAATATGATGTGCATTATAAATTATCTGCAAGATATGGAATTTATGTTTATGTGATCTCAAGAACAAAGTAGATCTATGGATGTGGCAGAGAAATTACAACATAATTGGCAATTTGTGTCATGAATAGTTTATTCCCATCAGCTGAAATAGATACAGTTTTAATCTCTTGTTGTGCATTGTCCTACATTTTTCAGACCTTACATCTGGTCTGCTCAGGCAAACTGTAAAGTAAATCTCTGCAGAGGCTGATTTACAGCTTATTTCCCCTGGATAAGCCGAATGTGAGGAGGCAGTGGAGAGTGAGTGAGTTGAACTTGTAATATCCTGCTGTGGCAGCATGCCCCTAAGCCCTCACTGCTTTTGTCAGATCACATCAATGTATGTGCGAAGAAGTGAAAATCAATATAGGATGAGCATGTTCCCACAGAGCTACATCTCTGCCATTATAGTTAACATTGCTTTTTTTGATTAATAAACTTAGACTCTCTCATGGTTGACAAGAGAAGTGCAATTTTTCTTTTTCATCGATTTTTACAATTTTTTCGGAATATTTTCTACACAGTCAGGTGATGCTGACTTACTATATGTTAAAATTGAGACATGGCATCTAATCAAATATGAACATACAGCATTACAAATGTGGCTCTTCAGGTAAAATCTGCCTTATTTCATAAGATCTGGAAATTTGACTAATACTATTTGATTTTTGCCTTGATTTGTACAAATGTGGTTTTATCAAGGCCAAAAATGTATGAGCGTAAAAAAGAGCTGATCAGTAATCTATAGTTTATCATATATCACATTTATCACTTCAAAGATGGACTTTGAGTCATCTTACAAACTCGTCATTGTATACTTGAGAAGAGATAGTGATCCGATTCATTGTGACCAAATTTAACAAGTGTAAATGCAGTTGGTTTGCTTTTTTCTTTTTTTCCTTTGTTGTCATTTTCAACTAAGCAAACTGTGTTATAAATATTAAATCAAAAATCAGCAGTAAGAGATCTTCACCCAGTCATGTAGACTTCATAATCCAAAGCTATCAAACCATCGGGGTATTTCCTCCAGTCTGTTGCTTTTTTTATCTTATGAGTTTTCAGGGTTTACATATGCCTCTATTCTAAGTATAGCACCAACACATGGGTCGGAGATTGACAGCTGGATCAGTACAATGTTGGCAGTAATGCAAGCACTGCACTGGGATTGTATGATAAAGCACGACAGGAGCATGAAGGCGAAGTTGAGCTGCCAGTTGATCTGCCTTTTAACCGATACCTATAGTGGCTGAAAGAATGAGATCATACAATCTGCAGAAATTAGTTTTCTCCGCAGGGAGTGTGGGCCCTTTTTAAACCGGCAATCAGACAAGAACATCCACTGTACATAGCAATTATAAAGTTTCTTTCCTATCTTTAATCAAGAGCGTGTTCTTTATTTCGAGAGCATTATTTATTCATTTCACGTTAAGATTTTGTAATGCTTTCCTTTTTGCATTCTTTCAAATAGTACCTGCTCAAGTGCACATTTGCTCTGCTACTGCTCCAGACTGTTTGTCAGCGCTCAGATATACTGTTGCACTGCCTCATTATGGGCGCGTTCGCTTTGCTTCTTGTAACGTCCCTTTGGGGCAGTCACTGTTTTACCGGGTTCTGCAGATCACTCACCAGCATGGATTGCATTTTTATCACAGAATAAATCGTATTTTTAGCACATCACCCTTATTTGTAAATGCTGCACTTTAGAGTGTTGCTGATCAGAATGGGTAAAAAGCCCTTTTGCCTTAAGACATGGTCGAACAACATTGAGTTAAACCCAGTTCATTTGATCTGAGGATGACAGGAAGAAAAGCTCAGTCATCCAGAGAAGATTTGAATGCCTCCTGCATGCCTCCCTGTGGAGATGATTCATGCCAAACTGTTTTGTACAACTGGGAGGACAGGAGCCTCCCAGTTGTGCAAAACAGACCCGTAGACGCTCGAGGGATTACACATCCCATCTGGTCTGGGAATGTCTTCAGATAACCTAGGAGATATGGGAGGATGTGGCTGAGTGGCTGGCTATTATTCTCACAACTCGGACAAAAATCAATAGGAAATTAAGAGAATAGACCTACAAATAGATCTGATGCAATTGTGGAGCATGCTGTAGTGCAAACGGTCGATAGCCTAATGCCCTGTCTCTGGATTTGTGTCCATCATTGGGAATAATAGAAGTGCAGCATTAGCATTTGAGCCACATTTATATGAAAAGGACGGAATTTGTCATTTCTATTCGGTCAAATGCTAGAGAATAATTTGATGAAACAGCTTGAGGTAAAGAAGAAGAGCTTTATCCATTTAGACACCACTGTGATGATTACCTAAAGGTTTTCCTTTTTATGTTTGGATGGTTTGACTTGGTGTGAAAGCTGTCAATCAAAGTCTCTTGTAATAATATAAACTGAATCTTGTGAGGCTAAAGCAGATCAAGACGCCTATGATCATAACATGATTTTTTTGTTTTAGTTCAAATATACATTACTATTAAATCAGCATAGACAACAATATCACCATAACTTCACTGACTAAGTGTTCTGGAGATTTTCGTATCTACAGGAACATTTTATGTTTTATCTTGAACTGATAAATCCAGGGTAAAAAAGTTCCAGAGGTCAAACATTAACTTAAACCCTCTATTTTTAAATATATCTGCTGATATTGGGAAGTTACAAGACAGCACCTGGACAGGTGATATATATATATAATGCAAGATGATGTATAACCATGGTTAACAGTATGTATGAGCAGGGATTTTACAATCCTGTGTTAAAAAGTTGTAAAGTAGGGTCTATAACATTTCACACAAATGTCTGATAGGATAAAATAATGAAATTAAATGTTATATCCAAAATATCAAAAGTCAACTTCACTGTGACATCATAGCATTCTGCAAAAACACTTCTGAAGGAAGATAGTGACCATAGTTCCAGCATCTTCACTCCTTGGTGGTGTCTTATTGTGCAGTGGAGGACTTTGTCACAGTCGGCCGACTTTTAACACATTTATTTACATATTTGTGTATGTCCTCATCTGAAGTTAAACTGTTAAATGCTACAGTACATTCTTTAATGTGCATTCATAATGTTAGTTATCAATTTAAATTTAAAATAAAGGTAGCTTTAATTCAGTGGTGCACAGTAGATGTCAGTTTGTAGACGGAGGTGCTGATGGTGTTCCTGGCGTGTCGTGTTTTGCAGGCAGCTACAGCAGCAGCAGCAGGCAGAGCTGGAGGTTCACCAGAGAGATGGACTGACTGCCTACGATCTCTCCCAGGTAACAATTCACTTAGGAACTGCTTCACCTTGCAAATAGCAGGTTAGGAAGTTGCCTTCGAGTTGTAATGAATATCAGTTGAGGACTGGATAGAATAAATAAATAATCTCCATTTTGTCTTATCTTCATGAAAAGCATTGTTGTTGAATTTGCCATGCACCATCCATTTATTTATAGTAGCAGTGCATGTAAAGAAATTAATAACAAATCACTTTTTTTCTCTTTAATGTGATTTGAGCAAATTATTTTGTTAACACAGATATAATAGAAGAGAGGGTTTCTTACCAAAGTGTGTATCAGGTGTGTAACAGTAGGACTCCATAACTGGCTACTTTTTCACTTCCCAGGCTGTAGGAACAAAATGTAATTGTACTCTAATCAGAGCTTCATTAGGGGTTGGCAAAGCAGAGCAGACCAGAAAACAATCTTTTTGATTATCCTCCTTTTTCTTTTTCCTCTTCCTTGCCCACTTGGCTAAAAAGCTTCCAATTAGCTTAGAAAAGTGGATGGAATGTGTTTTCACTTGTGTGTTTGTCTGTTATTTTTTATGACCTAAAACAAATGATCCCAAACATCTGTCACACCTTTGTCTATTCTACCCCGACCTCGCCCCGACATGTGCTTCCTCCCTCAGGTGCCTGTGGCCAGCGTCAGCAGTGGAGTCCATGAGGCAGGGAAGAACATTGACAAGACAGAGGCTCTGTTCTCCCAGGAGAGGGACCCACGCTTTGCTGAGATGTACACCGGCATCTCTGGCTGTACGACTTACACACACAGAAATACACCAACATCAGCCTCATACACATGCCCTGATGGTTGCTTTATTTGCATTGCACTTCTTTTAATCACAAGTGAGCTCTTCCCTGTTATTTCTATCATGCTGATGAGGGTTTGTGTGTATGTGTGTGTACAGCGGGAGATAAGAAAATGATGGTTCCCTCCTCCACAGCTGGAGGACAGCAGCTCTACTCCCAGAGCTCTCCCTTCCAGCAGGGACACTCCGGCAAAAGCTTCAGGTACAGGCCACATATCAATGTGATGGCAGCATGTCTCTCTGGAGAAAAGTGTAGCCTGATGATTCATAATTCACAAGATTTTTTTGGTTTGTGTATGTTTCTGTGCACACAGTTCATCTGTGATCCATGTCCCTGGTGTGAATGACATCCAGCCATCAGGCTCATCCAATCAGAATCTAGCTCAGATTTCCAGGCAGCTCAATCCAGGCCAGGTTGCATGGTCAGGCAACCGACCCCCCTTCTCCGGACAGGTAACGCACACACGCAAGTACTTGCACACAGAGAGTCTGTTGCTGAAGTGAAAGCGTTCTATCAGGAGTAAAGTTAGCAATCGTCACAGTTGCCGTGGTTGCCAAACTCATTTTCTCTGCTCCTTGTGTAACCAAGACTCCCATCTCTGGTGCCTGTTGACAGATGGACTTGTTTAATTGCTGGGGGTTCAGCACATTAATTAAATGGCAACACGTTTTTTTTTTTTTGTAATTTGTCCAACTCGTGAAATAATGTTGATGCGGTGTCACATCATTTTCATGGTATAAAAAGTGGGGAGGTGTAGAAAGGTTCAAACTTGAAAACATATAATCTGCTCATGTATGAGAAAGGTGTAAATACGTTTTCATGCTTTGTTTTCAGGCAACTTAAAATAGCACACTGACCTCTGAATCTTGTATTACACTAAACTTGAGCCGCCCGCCGTGTTTACTTACGCCTCTAATATTCTGTATCTGTGCCCTCCAGTCCAGTAAAGCCCAGTCCAGTCCATTTGGCATTGGTTCTGGCCACAGCTACCAGACTGACCCAGCCTCCTACAGTCCTCTGTCATCACCTGCCACTTCCTCCCCTAGTGGCAACGCCTACTCAGGACTGACAAACCGCAGCACAGCTTTTGGTGAGCTCTTGTCTTCTTCTTTTATCCTCATTTATTACTGTGCTATCTCTTGTATTGTACACCCTGTGGCACCGTGGAGTTCAGGACACTGGTTTGTTGTTCTGTCCGAAAGCAATCCTATGAATATAGGGACTGAGGAACAACATTTAAGTTGACACGTACCTACCTCTCTGTTAGAAGATCTTGCAAGGTGGGGCTTGGCAATAACATTTAAAACAATACGACTATAGTAGAAGGTCACCATGATGACGAGTGTAGATGCAGTAGCCTCTCTCAGGCCAAATATTTAAGTTGTTTTTTTGGAACACCTTTAAAGGGATAGTTTACCGAAAAAAAATAATTTTGCTTATTATCTACTCACCATTGTGCCGATGGAGGGGTGGGTGAAGTGTTTGAGTCCACAAATCACTTTTTGAGTTTCGGTGTTGCAGCAGAATCCAAACATAATATATTTCCATACTGTTTGTGTGGAGTCATCCAAGTGTCTGCAAGCCCTGACATTCATATTTCAGTGTCCAGTGTGTAAGATTTAGGTGAAAGGGATCTATTGGCAGAAATTTAATGTAGAATAATCCTCATGATGTTTTCACTAGTTCATTTCATCTAAATTGTATGAATTGTAGTTTTCTTTACCCCAGAAAAGGTCCTTTATATTTAAATACTTTATATTAACATGGAGGGAGTCCTCTCTACGGAGGCCGCCATGTTTTTTACATTAGTCCAGACTGGACAAACTAAACACCTTTTGAGTTTTTATGACAACTGAAGCTACCACAGGTTCTTTTTCATGTTCGGAAGAGGAGGGTGAGGTGAGGGGTGTTCAGCTGCAACATGCAACTTCAACACTAGATATCACTAAATTCTACACACTGTACCTTTAAAACATGGTGTAAATGACCTCCATCAGTGGTGAGTAGAAAATCTGTAACTTTTCATTTTTTTGTGAACTATCCCTATAATGCTGCAAAACCCAGGGTGGGGTGTCAAACGAAGAACTGCTGCATCTTTGATTTCATGAAAACATGCTTACAAACCAACATAATGGACACAGATGTAGAGCTGAATGGACTCATTTGCCCCTGAAACCACAGGCAATCACTGCTGTCTAGTTGCAGTTAACAATGAGTTTATGTCCAGAAGTTGCAAGATGGGTGTGTGTCTGAAGACTGTTCTCCACTGTACTTTCACAGTACTGTTGGTGTTCATTCAGTATCAGACATGTACTGGACTTGGAAGTTTAAAAGTATCCTAGAGGAAACACTGCATTATAATGTAACAAAATGCTACATTGAGTCATCATTAAAGTAGAATTGAAAATATGCAGTACATTATAAAATATATCCCAGCTTTAAAGGTTCAGTGTGTTGAGTTTAGTGACATCTAGTGGTGAAGTTGCATGTTTGTCCATTCTGAACTACTGTAAAACACATGACCGCTTCCGTAGAGAGGACCTGCTTCAGATGTAAATATAAAGTATTTAAATATAACTTATGAAAACATCACTAAGATTATTTTGTATTCAATTTCCGCCAGTAGATCCCTTTCACCTAAATCTTACACACTGGACCTTTAATATTTCAGCATATTTCCAATACAGACCTTGTCAGAGAACATAAACACCTGGAGTAAACCATTGAAGACATGATGAGAGAAACTGAACTCACTCAAGGCTACAACCGACAGGTTCAAACCCAGAACCTCATTGCAGGGAAGTGTCAATGCTAACCACTGCTTCACCGTGCCACTCCACACCCAATGTGATGCTATTATAAGAGTGCTGACTCATAGCCTATAGGCTGTGTGATGTTTTATACGATGTTGCTCTGAGGTCCACAAGGAATGCTGTTTTGTTTCCTTGTATGTCTGTCAAATATGTATGTGTGGGAATTGACCTTACCAATTGTGGTTAAAATAATAATCACTCTAAGATCCCACTGAAATAATGATACTAAATATTACTAAATTATCTTAAAACTCCATAAGGTCTGGTGGTGTTTTTCTACTTTCAATTGTATATAGATGAGCAAACATCTGGCAGGAATGAAGCAACCATAAAACATACAGGGCTGAGGCAGCAAAAGAAAACAAAGGGTAGTAAGATGAATCGTTTTAAAGACAGGATTGAATCTTGATGTTAAAGCTTGTCCAAGTTGGTAACCGCTTAACAGTAAAGTTGTCACAGTGCTTCCTCTCGACAAGTCAGCTTCTCAGATGTACGACCTTTGTTTTGTCATAAACTCACTAGTAATATAAGGTCAAGTCACCACCCTATGACCTTCACAACTAGATGTGAAAAAGTGACATATAACCAGAGAATTGTTTCTATTACCATCTCTAAAAATTAAGATGGCATGCTTGCAGAAGGATTTAAATCTGGACCACAGTGATCAACAACTGACCGACTGACCAATATTTCTTTTCCCAGACCACTGGCCTGACTGAAAGCTGGACTGTGGAACACTGACTTTTGAACTTGTGTGTGTTGAGTCAGTGACGGCTCATTAACCAGCTGCTTAGGAGTCTCTCTGTTTGTTGTCCACTTAGCTGTGGGAATAAAGTATGTCTAGTATGCAACTAGTTGATGGCCTTTTAATGGAAACGCATTAGCCAAATGATTTATCTATCTCTTTCTCTCGACTTGCTTATCTATTTATCTTTTATTTGCCATCTCGTCTTCTTTCTCCAAAGCTGTGCATACACTTTACAATTTAAGCCAATTTTTGCCCCAAAGGCGTTATTTGCCTTGCAGTGTACAGGAGGGAGCAAGCAGCAATGAATTACTTCCGATCGCCCGTCTGACACTCTGATGAATTTCTGACATGTCTGCCTTTTTCTTTTTCCCTGCCTTTTCTCCTGACTGCCCATGCGCGAAGTGGCAAACACAGTGAAAGCGAACTGAACTAAAGAAGCCGCTTCGATGAGAGATGAAACGTTTCTCTTAATCACATGATGTCGCCTCTATAATGAGCTTTAGTTTGAAACACATTTTCTGCACTGACTCTGATTGAGGCCACGCTGTGGTGGAAATGTTTGTAATTAATAGTCAATAAAAACATAGGGCTCTATCCTCGTGTGCCACGGCGCACTGTGCACAGCACAGGTAAATGTCCGGTGCGCAGATAGCGTGACTGTGTGCATTTGGCAAATTGGTGACAGGATGCGCCTGGTGCATCTGGAAACAAGGAGAAATTGAGATTGAGATGTACTTGGTGCGTTAGCGGCGGTGATTAACCAACCATCGCATTAAACTGCCCTTATCTTTCCCTTTAAGGAGAGTGTAGTGTCATTTTGTTGATAACAGCAGTCATTAAGAGAGGGAAGGGAGGGATGGGGACATCACAAGGTAAATCTATGAACTATCTATCCACCGTTTCAATAAATATTTAATTTCATGGAATAAATTTACTTAAAGCGGAGGATAAAAGTTTAAAACTATGTCTGGTTATCCCAACTTTAACACACCCACTACACCTCAATCTCTCCCTGTTTTCAGATGCACCTGTCACTGTTATGCCTGAAGTGCACAGTCACGCTCTTGCCATTTAAAAGCACTTTACACGGTGCACCGCGGTGCACTAGGATAGAGCCCTATGTTTTTATTGCAAACATTTCCACCACAATTTGGGATCAAGCAGAGTCAACGTACGGTGTACGACCTATTCTCTAGTTCCAACGTGTTATTATTTCGTGGCCACGTTATATTTTTTTCCCCCCAAAAAAATTGTGAGCCTTGGCTTCACATCGTAGATGATTTACCTGTTCGGTATGAGTTGGAATGTAACAGCGGCATTTCTAAATTCGTACAGTGTATGCCCAGCTTCAGGCAGTTTTTTGTGTCATATTTTTACTCGCTCGTTCTCCTCTGCCTGTCAGACCATTATGAAGGATGAAGTCAGTTGCAGCCAGTGTCGTTCATTTGTCTGTTGCTGCACATGTTTTCAGCCTTCACTCATGTTTAATAAGCTGTTGTTTTTCATTATCTGCTCTGCTTTCCACTTCATGTATGCACAGCCATCCTCCTCTGTGTTTCGTTAATTACTTTTTCATCTGGATTACCTCTCTTCATCGCAAGCTCAGTCTCTTGTCTGTATCTGCGTGGAGATGCGTTTTTTTTTTACTGGGAAACGGCGAGCAGGTTCCTCTGCAGGGGGAGGCTGACAGTTTATCAATCTGCCTTGCTTATTGTACTTAGTAGACTCTCAAAACAGCCTTGCAGGGAGAGAGTGAATTTGTGTGTGTGCGGGTCTGTTCATTCACATCCTGTGTGTAGCTGCTGTATGAGCAAAAGACAGCTTTTAGGTCCAAGTCATGAAGCTGACACTGCTGCTATTATCAGGTTGTGTTGATGTAGAGAATAATAGTTATTAAACTCTGTTTTAAGATTCAGCGTGTAAGACTTAGGTGAAAGGGATCTTTTCACAGAAATTGAACATAAAATAATCCTGTTGATGTGTTTTTGTTCTAAATTGTTGGTTTCTTTACCCTAGAATGGGCCCTTTATATTTATATACTTTATGTTTACATCTGGAGCGGGTCCTCTCTACGGAGGCCGCCATGTTTTTACAGTCGTCCAAGCTGGACAAACTAAACACCTTTTGAGTTTTTATGACAACTGAAGGTTTCCACAGTTTCTCTTTCATGTTTTGAAGGGGAGAGGGAGGTGAGGGGTGTTCAGCTGCAACATGAAGATGTTACTTAGTTTTACACACTGTACCTTTGACACCTTTAAGACAATCGCAGGTTTTTAAATCTAAGAGTAATTGATCAAATGTGATCAAACATCTCCTCTAGGAAATGTCCTGATCATATTGTTTTACTGTGGGCCCTGATCCAGATCTGAGACCTTTATTCTTGGGTATCTGCCAGCATTGAGTCCAATCTGTCGCATATATTAACACAGCCACAGAGGCTTTGTAGAGCTGATTAAATATGGATCTGGCACGCTGACATAACAGGTGTAGTCACTTGACTTGGCAAACTGTATTTCTCCCAAAATAACTTAATCTACTGCAGGTCCTGGTTCAAAACTATGAAGCTGATCAGCTTCAATAATTGACATTGTTTAAAGTACTGACACATGTACGGTGATGATGCAGTAGAGTGGAGGAACGTCTATCACACACATTGACATTGCTCATAGAATCCTTGTATTTTGTCACCTGGACATCAAAATAGTCACTCACTGCCGCGCCCAAATCATTATGTCATATTTACAAAGGAGTAGAGGAGAGCACCAGTACTGCAGTATTTCACTATTTAAGGCATACTATCAAGATAATGATATGCACCCACAATGACAGGTGTACAATGTGCTAAGCTACATTCGTTACAAACAGATAAAACATTTGAGACTAAACAATATAAAAAGCATTCATATACAAAAGAGAGAGAGCAGCGGAGTCAGTGTGTGTTGCATTACATTTCCCTCAGGTTCTGGGATCGTAAATAAGCACAATTCTTGGTAGCACTTTAGTTTAGGGAACACAATATTAGTCATTAATACATAACTAATAAGGATATCTGTTAGTGCTTAGTAAGGTTTTATTAAGCATCTGCATACATGTGTTAGGTCTTAATTGAACACATTCCTATTTTTGCTTAACAACTGGTTCATTCTTGGTAAATCCTTAGAAGGCTACTAGTTGGCCATGATTGTAAGTTATTAGTGTTTAGTATGGGTCTACTTTGATCCATACTATATATCAGCAACTTAAGCTCAAGACTAACTAGCTGCTTATTAAGGGTTTGTCAAGAATAAATGACCTATTCAGTAAGAATGAGAAATTGTTGAATAAATACCTTATACATATGTAGTGATGCTTAATGCAGATCTACTTGATCATTAACACATACACTAATTACTCATGTATTACATTGTGTTCCCTAAACTAAAGTGTTACCCAATTCTTTTATTCTTTTACATAATCAACCGTTCATAAGGATGAATTTGACCTGGGACAAACGTGATCACTAGAAGTTTCCACAGTAGAATTTAGTCGGGAGGAGGAGCAGCGGGATTTGACAGAGCCGCCTCACAGTTCATTCATTTTTATTTGTCAGCAAGATTATACAAAAAGTGCTGACCTGATGACCAAACTGCGTGGAGTGATGGGGCTAGAGAAAAACCCAGTGAATGTTGGTGCTGATCCAGTTAAAGGGGGAATCTTTTTGTGACATTGCAAGATATAGAGCATTTTCCATCGCTTTCATCACTTTCTCAGATCTGGATGTGGATGTATGAAATCAGATACTTTCCTAACTTTAGGATTGGTTTTGGCGGAGGTGTGCACTCAGCTGAGTTTGATTTAACTCAACCATGGACTGATATCAGGGCTAATAGCACATGAACTGTCTGATATTTTCAACTTTGGGCCAAAGGTAAAAAATCCTCCATCCATCTGCGGTGCACCATGGGTATTAGGGAGGACATGATAGCAACGGCAACAAGTGTTAGATCGTTACATACATATGAGATGAAGAGCAAGGGAAGCCTGCAGGCCTTCTACAGCTGGCACCGCATGAAATAGTTATGTCATCCTTCCGAGAGAGGGATTCAACTAATGGTCGTGTCAGAATGAAAACAACTGCCAGTGCATCTGTCAACATTGGAGAGAAACTTCTAGACCTCTGTTTCATCTGTTTATCTTGGTAGATGTGAACAGCGGCAGTTCAATAGAGCTCAAAAATCATCAGACTACCAGATTCTCAACCTCTGTCAATCTTCACGTTATGTGTTGGTGATGGTTTGTTGCAGTTGTGTACATTTGAATCAAGTATTCTGATTAACCCCAGTAGCAGTCAACATCAAAGTGTCCAACAGCTCAGTGGATATCCGAGAAACATTCAAAGCCAGGATGTTAATTAACCAGTAAAGAGTCTAATTAATGGTAATTGCTGTTACAAATACAAATACTACAATTTGTTAGGGTTGCAATGATTATTTATTGAATCATTTGTCTTTTCTTTTTTCAATCATGACATAACATCTTGAATAACAATATTAGATGCTTTCTAATTGACTTAAATCAGTCATCAAAATTGTTTAGTTTGTAATCAGCTAATTGTTTGTCATTAATTAGAATGGCTTTCATTATTTTTCCTCTTTGTTGTTTTTAAAAACGGGCGAGTGAAAGAGTTAAACAAAAAGAGGAGCTTGGCCCAAAATTAAGAATTTAACAAAGGGGAGAGCAGCACAGCATCAGCCAGCTGACAATGGTCCTGTACATTTAGAGAAGAGGATACAGCAACACAGAAAAGATTGACTAAACATCTTTTATTAGATAGAGAAATGATAATAATGAGCTGTCCATAAGGGAAGAATGGTCATGATAATATACAGAGTTATAAAGTTATACAGAGGAGAAGATGAAGATGGTCGACCTGTCTCATACTCTCCAACCAAATGTTTATATACAGATTGAAGAGGTCGCCTGTAGTAAATGATGAGCTGGTATTATAACCCAGTGTGTGTTTGTGTGCGTGTTTCCAGATGTGTCGGGGGAAAGCAGTCAGAGCGGAGCCCAGTTCCAGGGTCGTCCCAGCGAGGTCTGGTCCCAGTGGCAGAACCAGCATCACTCCCAGCAGGCGGGGGAACAGCACACACACCCCAACCCCAGTCAGACAGAAGTCTTCCAGGTAACACACAAGCTCAGACACACACTCTGCTGCTCTTGGACTGTGTTGCTGCAGCATGTCCGGCTGCTGGCTGCTGACCAGTGTGCACAGATATGTGATATGTCTGATAAGACCTCCATGTCCTCAGCACACCCCTAAACCTCTGACCCATCCTCCCTGTGTCTCTGCAGGACATGTTACCCATGGCTGGAGATCCCACGCAGGGAACAGCCAACTACAACATTGAGGACTTTGCTGACCTTGGCATGTTCCCACCCTTCTCTGAGTAACCAGTTCCTCTTCTCTCTTTCTCACTCACTTTCTATCACTCCCCTTCTCAGAACTGGACTAATGTTTGCATTCATCTCTCATGCTCTTCCGGTCAAAAGTTCAACAACACTCCCGTTTTTCCAGTTTTTATTGAAATTTCATCAGTTCAAGTCCAGTGAAGAAGCTTCAGTGGAACAAAGGTCTGCAACAAACTGGCCAAGGTAAATGAAAAAGAAAGTTCAGGTCACCAAACAGTGTGGATTTCATCGAAAAACAGACATGAAGACATTGGCTAACACACATATTTTCTTGCAGCAGTGGAAAAAAAATCAAAGCTTTAGATTTGATGCAAACAGTTTGTACAGGTGTTGGTGACTTACAAACCATGTCTGTACAAGTCTGTTACTACAGCCTCTGGTGCAGAGGACCACGCTGATCTAGAAGGTAGTTCTATATATTTCTATCAGAGTGGTTAGAAAAAGAAAAGTAAAGCAAACTGACAGACTGACAGACTGAGCTTGATATAAAATATAAAATAATGATTGTTATTGATAAGAACAGAAGCAGACAGAGGCTTCACATGATGAAGAGCAGCACGGTCTCCAGGTCATGGAGCTGGTTTGATGAAGTGGACAGAGGATGAAAGTAAAACAAAAAACATTAGTGGTGAAACTGTATTTGTTTCATCTCCATTGCAGAAAGAACATCATGAGTGTGTTCGTCTGCTGGAGATTATATTTAGTGAAATAACATCCCCATGATTCATTCTGTAAAATCAAACCCTCATCATTTTTTTTTTTGTTCTATGCTTTAATTTCCTAAAAAAATGGAGGTGTTGTAAAACATTTGACCCGCAGTGTATCTCACTGGGTCACAAACACACACCTGATGTGCAACACGGTGAATGTCTCGGTGCACTTGTCATCTCACACACACACAGCCCACAAACGTTTGCCCCTCCCAAGGCCTACAGTATGTACCTGTGAAAATACACATACCTCATCGCTGTTAGGAGGAGCACTGCTGTCAGATGGAAGGAACGCGAGCGATCATCAGTCTATCAGCTGTTGGTCGGTCGTGACAGTGATGGACATTGTCTGGAGCTTTTATAACAGGCGGTTGAAGCTCTGTAGCTCTCGGCAGTCAGCGGCAGCACGACCAGAAGGAGGTCAGCCAACAGGTTACAGCTGGATGTGTCAGACACTGGTTTTTAGATCCTATTAGTGGAGGTTTAAGTAAAACTCCGTGTCCCACAGACATCATTTCTGTCGGCCGCTCGTGTCAGCTCCACGCAGTCGACCGCCATTTATGATTGTACCAACAACACATTTTCAAGATGGAATAATGACAGCTGAGGAAAAAAACTCAGCAGGAAATGTTTTTGAAGCTCTGTCATTTTCATAAATTGCTCCCGAGCTGCTGCATTGAAGTAACTTGTAATGTGATGCAGAGAAATTCACACTTGTTTCTGGTCAAATGCAAAATCTGCATTAAATCTGCCTATTTATTGATTTAATATTTCACTCGCTGATAAAAGGTCAGTTAATATTTAGTCTTGATAAGGATGCGGATGTGCAGCTGACAGGTAACAGAATCCACATGTCATCAGACTGTAAATAGGCTAAAGTTACACCATGGTGATTCATCATTACCTAGCTATGTAGGAATTTAGGTCTGTGCTTTTCCATCAAAGTTTCCCAATTGTATGAGAGTTGTTGCTCAACTGGGTTTGAGAGCATCAGGCCCTGTTTGAAGCTTTCTACACTTCCTGTGAAACATGTGTTCCAGTGTGAGACACAGGTTAACACAGTCACCAGTGCATTAGACCTGCTGGTGTCTGTCACAGCTCACACATGTCAACTCACTCATGTTCTTTGTGATTGCAGAAAAATTGTGTCAGTGTGCTTTCTGTGTGTGCTCGTGCACATATTTTCATGATGACAGAACAAAGTGGAGACTGCTCCTTAAGTCAGCTGACGACCGTAGGAATACTTCTGCTCCTTGAATCTCAAGTTATGTTTTGGGGCCACCAGTGTCAGTCCAGACAGGATGTCATTTACCTCACACCACAATAGGACCCATACACTCGGAGACGAGTTACCTCCTCTGGTAAAACCTGCAGTGACTGTAGAGAGCATCGGTCGACAACAATAATGATGTAAATGACGTGAAGTAAAATGTCTGAGCGCCGAAGACGTTCACCTCCATCTGCCTGGTGCTGCCTCTCACGCACCATCACTGACTCTGCCAAACAGCAGCAGGTGAGGAGACGCTGCTGCTCTCCACCCGCTGCTGACCTCACTCTCTCCATCAACCTTATGATGTAAACTATATGTAGTGACGCCCAGAGCTCTAAATGCGAGTACCGAAGGATTCTATGTACACACGAAACAAAAAAGAATAAAATAAACTCATTGCAGACAGTTCTTAAGCTAAGGCTTAAAGTGCACTTCATGAAGCTAACTGCTAATCTCACCAGCCTGCTTTAAAAGGGAAAAACCGCCATACCGTCCAAGCAAATCGCAGTATTTACTAGTGTATTTGGTGTTCTTCAGCTCTCGCTACTTGACTTAATTACTTTATAATCTTTTCAACTATTAAGAGACTGAATAATACTTTCTAGTAGGGGAGCTTTTACATGATAGATTGTATAATGTCTCTGACAGATGGATGGAGAACCGTGAACAGACGTCGAATCCTTTTGCTAAAGATCTCAAATTGATGTTTTCTTTTTGTAAATAATGTGATTTTTATGTCGACTCGTGTTACTTTCACACAGTACATGTTCTTTTGTGTAGGTTTTAATGATATTGTGTGCAATGTGACTACATATTTAACTATTGGTATTTAGTTAGTCTGTTCATTGTACATTGAGTTCTAGACCTGTACAAATGGTGTAAATGTGACCCATTATTTTTGTGTAACAAATTGTGCTTGTGACAATAAAATTCTTATTGGTTACGTGGCTTCTGTTCAACGTCTTTACTCTCCCATTTTTCATACTCTACATTATATACAAATCTTTTATTTTGATTATTGTCTTGTTAAAAATCAGACATACAAACTGCTTTCACTGCTATAAAGTATTTAGGTATAAAGCTTAAATCAGGTTAACTCATATATTGTTTTTCAGTTTTTAGTAGTTAATTTGATTCACATAGACAATAACTGTAATAATGATAATAATAATATTGAATATAATAGACATGATTCTTTTACCTGTGACAATATTAACTTGCTGATAACTAATGTTCTTTATGTAAAGTGACCTAATCTCACACATCAAAGTCTCTTAGTACAACCGTATATATGAACTGAAGTATTTTTACTCAGAACCCAGATGAGAACATATCACATCATCGCTTTTTAAGTTGATATGTAGAACTATAGAGAACATACATTTGCTTACTTACACATCGAAGACTTCTGAAGCAACATTATTATTCATTTGAAATAACTTGGTCTAGTCCAGTGCTCCCTCTCTTTTAGCTCTGGGTTTGGTCTCCTCCACCTCCTGAGAGAAATATCTGGCTGGATCAGGAACCAAATGCTCCACCATGTTTACCAGCTGCTCTCTGACTGTGCCTGTCTGCTGTTTGGCCGAATGCACAGCCTTTTCCCTGACAACGATTTAGAGCGGTGAGAGTGAACCAAGTAGTGGGCCGGACACAACAATGAGCTGAAAGTCATTATAAAACAAAAAGTCAAGCAGAGCTGAGGCTGTATTTCCGAATGCACAGTAACTCATTGATGCTGATCCTGTACAGGTTTGTTGTGTTGTAAACAATCTTTGCAGTTGCGTTACCTTTGTGGTCCCTGAAGTATAGACACTGAGTCAAGTGCACTGACAGGGAATCGATTGGATTGGACTCATCAACCATATTCTAATGAGTCCAGATCTGAAGTCAGCCTCATCTGTCACTTCCAGACAACCGACAACTTTTACCAATAACAAATGCGATGCTCTCTAATTCCTCCATCTCAAACAGAGGAATCTACAGAGCTAAAGCACAATCACATTCTTTCTTTACTGATGGCAGGTAAAGTGAGACAAAGACAATGAGCTGGAGGAGAAATATTCTGTCCTTCTGTAATTTGAGAAGAATGTGAAGACATCTTGACAACATCTTCCTGTTTGTTTTGTTTAGGAGGTTTCTGTCAGTCACACACTGTACTAACATCCTCCATAACTGCTGTTTAACTGTGACAGAGTCAAAGTGAATGGTTCCGTCAGCAGGATGCACGTGTTGGTGTTGCCAAAGCACTCAGCAGACTTATTAGATGTAAACATGTGAACAAGAGTGACTGGTGACGGGTCTGCTCGTGCATCATGGAGACAGATACTCACAGTGAATGTGTTTATGTGTGATGCCTATGAGGTGCTGACTCCTGCTCAGCCAATTAAAATGAATAATCAGTTACGCAACAAAACTGTCGAACCACTCTCCCTTACAGCCTTAGGTGTCTGTGGTATTCAGCAGGTCTAGAGACAAACGTCTGAATATCATAAAAGGTGTTTTTCTTTGAACCTGTCCATCAGTGAGGCATTGCATCTGTACAGTAGCTTCTAGTGGCCCCACTTCACATTGAGGCCTGGGAAAAACAAGGTAATGAGGGGTAATCTCTGGGTAGCAGTATGGTAATTGGAGTGTTCACCACAGGCATATTTTCAATTCCTCACTCTGGATTGTCAGACCTGTGAACAGATCCTGGACAGACGCTGTGGTCCGAGTTCTGCTGCAGCTTCACCACCTTCTGTTTATCCACAACTACTCTACAAGTTGGACATTGAGACAAACAGACAACAGATATAAATATTTCTTTTTTACTCGGGTTAAAAATCAGGTGGTGCTGGTTGCTTTCTGATTCAGTCTCAGCCATGCTCCATTGGCCCTCTCGGGCTGTCGAGCCTGTTTCACCTGGCATCATTTTTACCGTCACTGTCTATTGCACCAGTAACCAAAACCACAACACTGGTGTCTGGGAGTCCTGGACACCTGCGCATCACTGCAGCCTGGTGAGAAGTGACATCACTGCCGCCTGGTGAGAAGTGACATCACTGCAGCCTGGTGAGAAGTGACATCACTGCAGCCTGGTGAGAAGTGACATCACTGCAGCCTGGTGAGAAGTGACATCACTGCGGGAGTCAGCTGTTTGCTGAAGATCGAGATTCATATTTGATTTGTGTTGCTATTTTGTCGCATACGTTTCCATGATCATGCACTGAGGGAAATCAGTGATGTGATCAGGAAATGTGTTCATGTCCTCAACTATCAGGATGAAACACAAGCAGTGAATTGGACTCCATTTATTGCAGTTAGTCAGGGCGGCTTTTGCTGGGGGGAGAATGGTTTGTCTTCTAACCAGTCGGTGGTTCGATCCCAGTCTTCCCCATTCAGCATGTCGAAGTGTCCTTGGGCTAGAACTGAACCCCAGATTGCCTGTGACGGCGCTGCTGTTCTCATAGAGAAGGTCCTGCCCATGGATGCACTGTATGAATGCGTATGCAAGTGGGCGAATGGCAAACTGTACTGTAAACTTTGAGTGCTCATCACGACTAGAAAAGTGCTTTATAAAATCAGACCTTTCATAGGTTGTGGTGAGGTTTGGTACCGTGCTTTACAAGTACTGTGAGTGTGCATTGCATGGTAGTGCAGATATTTGATGGAAAATTGACGTGTTGTGTCATTTTGATAGTGAACACTCAGTCCTAAAACATATGAAGACTTAGAACCCTGGTTGCTGACTTACAGTAAAAACATAAAACTATATCTGAGCAGGTATTACTTCTTAACTCTGTAATTATAAAAAAAAGATGGATGTATTGTCAACATGTCCTGTAGCATTTCACCTTCCCACTCAGCCTATATCAGCTGCGCATATGCTGTGAAAACGTTTCTAAAGCCTGTCAAGTACCAGTGGAATGCCAAAGCTCAGATCTGGTTTTTTTCTTCTCATAAACACAAAGTGGCAGCTCTTGGCAGCTCTCCTGCTTGGCACTTTAATACCTTTCTTCAGCCTCGACTCTTGAACAAACTGGTAGGTGATTTGAAAAGAAATAGTTTCCCACATTCCTTCCTGACATGACATGCACTCCGATTAGCCTCTTAAATTCCCCTCTGACATTTGCTAAGCTCTGCAGCATTTGTGATGGACTGGAGGGGAAGGGAGGGAGGAACATTTCATTCTCACGATGTCTTCATTCTGCATCTACATGCTGCTGTCGTCTGGCTCCGCTCCACGTCTCCTGATTGATTGTCATTAGATGATAACTGCAATAGATGGTGCTTATTTTTAAAAAAAAAATCCCAACTCGATGTGTTGTAAATAGCCTTCGAATGGCATCTGGTGTCTTAACAGAGCTTCACCTCAGGGCCTGAAACCATCACCGAGACAACTCTGCTGTGCCGTGCAAGTCAGGGGGTGTGTGTGGTTCTCTGCGATAGTGTTTGATTTGCATAAGCCACTGAGATGTTGTGGAGTGTGTGCGTGTGTGTGTGTGTGTGTGCACTGTGGTTGGCAGAGCATAGCTGCATGCTCGGCTGCAGTCAGTGTGTCTCCTCACTGACAGGTCTATCTTAAATCATGCTGCTGAGAATCTCCTCCAAACACACTGACAGCATTCAAACCACACAGAGAAAAACAACCCACTGTGCCCATCAACACTGCCGCCTGTTTACCTGCAGTTACACACTCAACACAACTTTATTATTTTCCACCTATGCAGTTCCATCTTGCATTCATATTCCCATGGTTTTTGGGCAGCGCTCTGTGTTTACAAGGCGGCTGGAGAGCCGGTGTTTTGCAGAACGAGGCGCTGCCACAGCCCGGCACAGAGAACAGGTCCCCTGGAACCAGCAGGTAAAGTGAACAAGAAATATCATCCAGAACAAGAAACACTGACTGCCCACTTCACCTAATCTCACGACCAAATGAATGACCAAAAATCGTAATACGATTTTATTTTGCAAAAGGTAAATGGTCTGTGTTCATTGCCAAATTTATGTTTATGTCAATTTGGGGTTCAGTGTCTTGCCCAAGGACAATGAGGGAGCAGAGGATCAAACCACCAGACTTCTGGTTAGAAGACGACCCGCTCAACCTCCTGAGCCACAACAACCTAGCAGTATTTATATAACACTGTGAGTTGCAAAGTGCTCTACATGTGGAAATCCTGATCAAACAATTCAACAATTCAAAGATTATATATCATTAGAAGATTAACTGATACAAAATGAGATTTTCTTTTTCCATCTGTGAAAACTGGATATTTCATAATCATTTTTATGTGGTCACTTTTGGTTTAGGAAAGTTTAATTCCTCCATCCACTCCAAACACAACACATAATTTGTGTTATCAACGTATGTAACATTTCTGTAATGTCTTTCATTTACCTATACATCTATGTTGATCTGTGAATTATTTAGGAAGTCAGCTAAGTTTAATATAAGAAGGCTGCATAAAAATCAGTTGTCTCCCTTTCTCTCTCTCTCTTTTGCTAATTTGCCATAACAACCATGTGTCCTGTCCGAGGGCCGAAGGCTTCTGAGAGGAAAAGCAACAGTTACTCATCTGGCCACCTTTGTGTGACTTCTGCTTTAAAGCTCAGTGACTCTCATTGTCAGGTTCATTATCATGTGACTCTCTGTTGATGGCTCTCCATCGGTATGCACGGATGATGCACCCCCTCAGACACCAGCTGAGGCAGAGCAGACTGGCGTGTGTGTGTGTGTGACTCAGAGTTTAAACCATGTTGCTGATGACCTGTGCTTTTCCCAACTTTGGAATGTGTTGTTCAACTCGTCATAAGCAAAAGCTCAATAACATTGCATAGTCATCCTATTGGTATTTGCTGAGTTGTGTTATTGTAGTTGGTTGATTAGTGCTCTGTTTACAGCGCTGAGTTTATTTATAGAAGCAGCTCAGATTAATCAGTTTAGCAGAGCGCCTGGAAATATCTTTTG